TCCGGCATGATGCGCGGGTACGCCATAGAGAACCTGCCATGGGGTGAGGTTGGGAAGGGAGGAGGAGGAGGAGGAGGAGGAGGAGGAGGAGGAGGAAGGGACGGAGAGAGAGGGGAAGGAATTCGACAGGGAGAGTAGACTAGACTAAACTAGACTAGAGTACAGTAGAGTAGAGTAGAGTAGAGTAGAGTAGAGCAGACTCGTGTGGTGTCGAGTCGAGTCGGGGAGGGGAGAGTAGAGTAGAGTAGAAGGGAGGAGAGATGGGAGAGGGGCAGGCAGGAGGAAGGAATCCTCCCTCCTCCCTCACCTGCCCAGCAGTCTCTTCGCATTCGTCTGCAGCCTCCTCCTCCTCAGACCGCAGTTGAACGACTTCTTCCACTGACCGCTGTCGCCGTCAAACTTGTACATGTCCCCTGCCGAGCATGCTCGTCAGCCTCTGCTCCCCTCTCAGTCGCAACCCACCCGTCTGCGCATCGAGGAAGAGCTGGTCGTGTGCTGGCCGCACTCGATTGAGGATCTCAACATTGCCCCCTGACATCCCCAATGTCACCATCATGACAAACACCACCCCGAAGACAAGAGCCAAGACATGGAGAGCACAATCATCGCCATCTCCCTCCCTCCCTCCCTCCCTCCCTCCCTCCCTCCCTCCCTCCCTCTCCTCCCTCCCTCCCCCCTCCCTCCCTCCTTCATCCATTTCCCTCCTCCCCTACTTCCACCACCACCTCCTCTCCTCCATCACCCCGGTCTTCCACACCTTCAGGGTAAGAAGGATGAAGTCTGCCGATCTTCTCTACTATCCCTCTCGTGTTGATCGCACACAAGACGATCGCGGCAAAGGCTGAGGAGGCGAAGAAACATTTTCCAGTTTGCGCACACATCTGCATCAACCTGAAGACCTGCGGGGAGTTCTGTCAACAAATACAAGGCTGGAAACAAACACGCAAGACAAGAAAACTTTGCATGATACATCTCCCTCTCCTCTCCTCTCCTCCCCTCCTCCTCCTCCTCCTCGCCCTTCCTCCCAGCACATCTCCAACACCCAATATCTCTTGCCTTGTCCACTTTCTGCGTCCACGGCCGCAGCTGAAGGTCACCGTCCACAAAGAAGAAATCTACTTTGTCAAACTGCCGAATCGCATCCACCTGCCCGCCCCCCGGTCATCGACCGCCGACACCCAACACCGCTGACTTCCAGCTGCCTGCTCACCTGCACGAAACCGTCCTTGTTCTCGTTCAGATAGTCTCCTGCATCCTCTCCATCAGCACGCGCCCTCTTCGCTCATCACAGGATCACCGATGTCGTCGTACCGCCGCGTGTAGACGCTCTTCCCGTAAGGCCAGCTCAGGTCAAAGGCCTGGAGCACCGCAGGGTGTGAGGGGAAGGAGGAGGGGAGAGCTTGTTCTACCTTGAGCACTGAGTTGTAGAAGTTCTGGAAGCGCCTGCAGGTCATCAAGTCATCTTTCATGACAGCTTTCATAACTTTCATGTCAAATTTCATAACTCTCATGTCAAGCAGTTCATGGTACCGATGACGTGCATGTCTGAACGTCTCACCTCCTGCTCTCGGGCGAGTCTCCGAACCCGTCGATCACCAGCACGTGCATCTTTGTTCCGAGGGCTATAGCAACAATCTAGATCCTCCCCCAGATTGCTTCAGAGGAAATGCTCCAGGATGCAGTGAGAGTACAGTTCCTTCACTTTCCCCCCACTTCCTGGTTTCAACTTCAGAACCGGAGACATCCGCATCCCTGTCTCAGGGAACAACCCAGTGTCTGGAGACAGCACAGATAAGGTGCTTTCTGCTGCACTAGGTCTTGACCGAGTATCATGCCAATCAGCCTCCTCGCTCTCATTCTTCTCCTCCCCCTTGTCAACCTCCTATTCGATCTGCTCGCCCTCTACCCTCAAATCGTTCATGCAAGCTACTGCACCTTCCTAGGATACTTTCCTGTTGCATCTAATCCAATTCTTCTCATCTCCTCACATCACAACATTCAATTTTGGTCCTGTACGCGCTCCTGCTCAAATTGTACCACTGCTTCGTGCTGCACTCGCACTTCCGATCTCTTGATCTGGACCTCATCGTCACACCCATCTTCGATCTGATCCCTCTCCTTCTCCTCCTGATCATATCACCCTGATCCTTCGCACGTTCCCCCTGCACCTGCTCCTTCTGCTCTTTCTGTTAAATCCTGCTCCATCTCCCCAGCATGTTAGATCCGTTGGGTCCCGGTTGAAACAAACCTTTAAACCATAAAACTACATTAAAATTTATATTCTATAGTTTCAACACCCAATGAAATACTCTCAACAATATTGCTGTATAAGAGCAAATTTATGTGGAATCAATATTCTCCCTAAGTTCCCAACTCTCGTTTATTGTAGCCCCCTGACCGACATCACCCTTTGACCATCGCCTCCTAAACTCGATTATACCGGTACTTGATACGGGAAAAAGCACGGTAGGGGTACTAGTGTCACCCCTACCTAGTCCATGTGAAATCAGGGGTGGAGTGGGTGATGGGGGCTATGGCAGGATCCTGGCGATGGCATGGGGAGGTGAGGGGGGAGGGAGGGGAGGGAGGGGAGGGAGGACAAGGCACAGGATGAAGGAGAGGAGAGGAGAGATACAGGTTGAGCAAGAGCCTCAACTCATCTGAGCGTGTGGTGGTCTCATCGGTGCTTTCTTGACAGGAGGTGAGTTGACATGAAGAGGAGGAGGACCAGCGTGACGCTCAAAGAACTTGTGAGAACATGCCGCCGATGGTAAGATGAAAAGTTGATATCACTAGATGTTAGCTGAGGACACTGTAGGGGTAGATCGGGGCCCTCTCTACTAATGGGGCGGAAGGTGAGGAGGGAGGGGCGGAAACTTCACGTGCGATTCGAGGCACGCGACGATGGAGGGAGAGCGAGGGATCGAGACAAGTTGCGCGACTTCGAGAAGTTTCTCTATCAAAACTTTGGCAATTCTCGCGTGTTTGTGCCCATGAAGAGTTTTGTCCTGAATTCGCTGAGGGCAACAGGCGTCATGTTGGTTCTGCCCGACAAACTGCTCTTCGCCATCGACGGTGAGCACGAGAATGACCCGACCGTCTTCTCCGTTGAGCCTCAGAAGGATTTTTCGAAAGTTTGTCTCGGATATGTCATGGGATCTGACAATTTGCCCGCCATGTCGGTGTGTATGAGGTCGTCGTGGAGGATTCCTGAAGAACTTCGAGAGTTTGGGAGCAACACTCGTTCCGAGCGATGCTGTGACAAGACGTCAATGTTGCGTCATCCTCACCTGCTGATCGTCTGGAGCTCCAAGAACTTTCAGTCTGAATTGCAAAGTTTTCTGGATGACAACGCGGAGGTGCGGATTGCTCGGGTGGCCGATGGGAATTGTCAGCGTCAAAGAATGGAAGCATGGTATCGAGCAAGCTCGCCTTTGCCGAGCACACGAGCGAGCTGCAGAGAAGCAGGTGGCGTGCAGGAGGAGGAAGTGATAGAGATCGACGACGACAGTGAGCATGAAGTGCAAGTTGAGAACAAGGACAACAAGAGGGTTCGACTGGTCTATCCTTCACGCAGTGCAAGGGAATCCGTCACTGTCAATGAGACTGACGTGTTGACTTTGCGGGCACGGCAGTACCTCAACGACTCGATTATCGACTTCTATATGAAGTACGTCCAGCACGAGCTGAGCTCTCCAGTCCAGCAGTCGAGGTATCATGTCTTCGGCAGCTTCTTCTGGAAGCGCATGGAGCAGGAGAGCACCCTCGAGCAGAAGCATACCGCCGTCTGCCGCTGGTACAAGTCCATCAACATCTTCGAGCGCGACTTCCTCTTCGTCCCAATCTGCCGGAGCTTGCACTGGACCGTCGCAGTTATCTGCTTCCCTTGCCCCGACAGCGCTCGTTGCCATCCGAGCCTGCGCGGGGAGAAAGAGGCACGTGACCAGGAGGGTGGAGCCGGGATCCGACAACGATGGAGTAAATATGAGCATACTTTGCTCTTCTTCGATCCTCTCGGTGGGATGTTGAGCGATGAGGTAAGGGGTGCTTGTCTGCTAGCCCGTCCGCCTTACTGCCTGCCTTACTGCCTCCCTCCCTGCCTTCCTGCCTCCCTCCCTGCCTTCCTGTCTGTCGTACTGCCAGTATTGATGCCTGCCTGTCTGCTATCTGTCTGGAACATGACAATGAAGGCCAGGGGAGCGTCTTGTCGGGATTCTTGTTCCACGAGTGGAATCGAAGAGAGGAAGCGCCTTGCTGCCTCCTGTTCCTCTTCCATGACGGGACCATGCAGGAAGCCTCACGGGTCGACACCATCAGGGAGCTAAAACCGTACAACATCCCCGTGCCCACCCAGCGCAACTCTTACGACTGCGGTGAAGTGGAGGGAAAACTTGCCCTGCCCGTTGCTAACGTGGGTCAGGTCTTTTCATCATGGAGTACGTGAGAAAGTTCGTGGAGGACTTTGTTGCAGTCTCAGACGGTCCTTTGCCCCCCCTTCTTCGAATCTCTTTGCTTCCTCAATTTCTTCGCTCCTCTGGATTGTTCTCCTGCTCCTCTCTCATTCCCTCCCTCGTTGATCCTCTAGTCCTCCTCTTGACCTCGGTGATCGCAGAGACTTGCTCAGATGCTTACGTCAAGTTCTTCAAGTGGGGCAAGAACCCAGGGTCATGGTTCAGGTAATATGCCCAGAGCGTTGCTTCATGACGTGCGTTCGGCAGTTCGGACAACCTGTCAGAAACTCGAAGACAACAAGTGAGGAGTCTGATTTTGAAGTTGAATAAACGACACAAGAAATGACAACGGACATGTTCAATCAAGAAGTTTATTGCTGGTGCTACACAAGTCAATAAGCAACTCATTAATGTTACATGTAAACAACAATGCGATGTTACATGCACCATCCCTGCTTCACTTGCTCCATTCGCCACTGTCGGACTTGTGGAGAGGAGGAGCCCTTAGGAGAGGGGGAGGGGGAGCGACGTACTGAGCTGTCTTCGACACGTAGTTGCACATCTGCACTACATAATCCTTGGTGCCAAACTCGTTGAAGGTCCTTCCAGCAAGGTCGTATCCGTCCAGGGAGGCCGGGCAGACAGGACCAGCGATGCCAATGCGCGAATCTGCGTCCACATGCTCCACCGTCGTGAACTTGGCAGGACGGAAGACCTCGAGCACGCGAGCGATCAAGTGGTGGTAGCTGTCGCACGAGAAGTTGGTCTCGAAGGAGGCGTATGAGCAATGTGCCTCCGGGGTGATGTGAATCGTCCAGTACGAGCTGCCATCGGCCGCCTGCCCATTCATCGAGTATCCACATGGCTCGAAGAGATGCGAGTGCACCACTTTGCCATCATGCTCCAACAGCGAAGAGATACCGCTGCGATCCGAGGCTTCGTCCCCAGTTGCACAAAACTCGCTTTGGTTGCCGAGCTCCTTCGTCTGTTCCTTCTCGACGTTGTTGGAGTCTGCAGAAAAATCTTCGAAGATGGAGGGGATGATCAAAGGATCTGCCTTCATGAAGTACTGTGCCACTTGGGGGTCGATTCCGTACATGTAGATGTTGAGCATCTGATCGCGATCAACGATCTTCCTGCTGCCGTCCGGGGTCTCTCGGCGGATGAAATCAGCAACAAAGAGGTACCAGTGATCGGAGCTGAGAGGGCCCATGATGAAGGGCCTTCCAGTAGGAAAATACTCGTGAAGGAAGTGAACTTCTTGGTCGAAGGATGTATGAGGGAAGCTCTGCTGTTCCGGGAACAAGAAGTTCTTGCGGGAGTACTGGAACCAGCAGACCTCGAGGCCTACGTCAGCGCCGGCCTTCATGATGGCTGGAAGAGTCTTCAACAGCAAGGTGGTGCCACAAGTCAAGATGATCACTCTGTCGTTATAGACGAAGAGGGAGGACTCGGAGATCAGGTAAGCGTCAAACTTCTCCTGGGGATCCGCCAGAAGGATAGTTCCATTGAGGATGGCCACAATGTCCGACCAGAACTCTCTGTTGTATTGACGGAGGCCTCCGTTAATGTCGATGGTGTCAGTATCTCCACCATCCTGCAAGAATGTTAGATGGATTCCAACTCAAAAGAGAGAAAAACATACAATGGGCCTGAAGTCAATCTCCATTTTCTTCTCGGACCCTTCGAAGCAGAACAACTGGTTGGTCTCGATGATCTCGGGCATGTTGTTGAATTGGGATGGCATGTAAGTTTGAGGGGGAGGAAAGGGTTCTCTAAAAACAATGGCAATGAAAGATCAATAAAAAACCGCCCAACCTGGTCAAAAGAGTCAGTACAGGAGCACTGTAAGAGCAGGCAACTTCACCTATGCTAGGGAGGGCGGATGTAATGTCGGTTGAGCGGAGCCGTCGAAATCAGAAAGGCTCCAGCAACACTTCAACAATAGCCCTGGAAACAAAACTCATATGAGAATCCTCACAAGAACTCATCTGTGCGGCATACCTCACTCGGTGAGATGGCTATTGCCTGCTTGCTGGAAAATTTGCAAGTAGGACGAGGGGTATGAAAGAACGAGGCTCCTGGAAGAGCGAAGGCTCTGCGTGAAAATGGTAAGAATCAAACATCTTCGAATCCTTTCATCCTATCTTCCTCATGTCTCGTTCAAATACGGATCCCATCTTGTCCTGACTGACCTACGATTACACCAGTTCCTCTCTACCTATCCCCACACCCCAAGGGTGTACCCAACTCTTCTGTACTCCGTTCTTCTCTCCTCCATGTCTCTCTACTCCTTCCTGCAAGAAAGTGTTTCTCTCTCTCTGTCTCTCTCTCTCGCATTCTAGCTCATCCCTTCCCCCTCTCCCCGTCGCTTACATGGCCGATCTTCTTTCGCTTCCGCGCGTGTGTTGTTAAAAAAAAGTTCAGATTTGCAAATCTCAAGTGAAAATTCAAAACAGTTTTCCCAAATTTATGGTGCCACCCCACTGACTGCTCGGATTCGGCACCTATACCCCACCTCTATCTTAAAAGTACCCTATTTATTCAATGATTTATAGGACTTATCACCGGTGTTATTTTCACCTTACCCTACCTTGTCTCCCACCCACCATGAGGTGAGCGAATTTTGGAGTATTGTGAAATTTTCAACTTACAACCTCAAAAACTCCTTTAGATGGTTTGGTACCCCCACCCTTTAAAGACACCCTCATTATTACTTCCACCCCTACTGAATATTCACTACCCCTTGTTTCCATTACATATAACCCCTATCTACAACATGAGGGTACCCCACCCTGTCCTTTACCTTCTAAACCTCTTCATCCACCCTCTACTTTTCAATTTTATGATTCGATCTAGAACCTCCCACCACCCCTCTCAATCGTTCTATTACCACCCCGTCGGAAGCATGCTTACGGTACCCCACCTCCAAGCTACACTTTTGACCACCTTTGATTTGACCCAAGCTTCTATCCACAAGAGGGGGTGATTCAAAGTACACTACCCCTCCTTTCCTCGCCACCCTTTGCGACTGCCTTATTTTCTACCCACCTCCCTTTGTGATGCGCCCGACCACCTACCTAGGACCAGTCCTAGCACAAACACCCCCAATAGCACCCACCCATTCGTATCACAATATGACTTGCTACAGGCACAAAGTACCCTTCTATTAAAATCGGATGAAAGCACCCCCTCCCCTTTTTTCCCGATCGTACCCCTACCTTGTTATTTCGCACCCCTTTGGATTTCAACTTCGTACCTGTGCAAAGTACCCGTTTTGTATATTCCCACCCTGGTGTAGGGCAACAGGACCCCTTATTAAGTACCCCCTACCACTCCTTTGAGGAAGTCCTACATCGAATTGGAGGCCGGTGGGAGGCCATCATTCAGGGGTAGTATGTGAGATTAGCCTGTTTGTTTCCCAGGGTGGGGTGGGCAAGAAATGGTAGGGTACTCAGAAGAATTGAGCGAGTGAGGGTTCCTCACGTATGAAAACTTGGGGTAGTACCACTTCATCGAGAAAAGGAAATGAAGGTGGGTCCTCCAAATTGGGGGTGGTTATCTTACACCCCACCCCCTCGATGTTGGTCAGGTGCATCCTGATGGGTGCATTTCGCCCTTTGGAGGTCGGGAGGGGGTGCTGAAAGTCATGGGGTCAGGTGACCCACATGACCCTCACCATGTACCGGTGGTTGAATGGGTCGAAAAAATAGGCAAGGGATTTGACAAGGTCATGGATGGAGCGGAGAGGGGTAGGGTAGAAAAGTTGCAAGTCGCAGCCTGGGTATACGCGAAGGGGGTGGGTGGGGGATCCGGAGATACGGGATTGTATCTAGCTAGCAAGAGGTCTGACGGGACTCCGTAGCAAGGGGTAGCTTTACACGAGAGGAGATTAGGGGGGTAGGGGTAGGGGTAGGGGTTGGCGAGAAATGCGGTATGAGCAGAAACGGCTACGTTACAGAAATGCAGAAGAGACATGACGTGAAACGCATGTAACGACAAATTCTCGTTACGTTGAATAACGGTCCGAACGGACCAACGGCCGGGCTGCCGGGACGGGACTATGGCGAGCGGCGACTTGGCCGAGCAGAGAGGGAGGGGAAGGAGGGCGAAGAAGAAGCGATGATGAGACGAGGGTAGCTGAGGTCCGAACAGCTGAGACGAGACCAGGGGAGAGGCGAGGCGGAGGATCTAGGTTCATAGTATGATAGTATGCGGGGCTGATGATAGAACGAACTTGAGGAGTGGAGTGCAGGTACAAGATGTTGCTGGCTACCTGAGGGAATGGGCTATGAGGGTGTCGAGCAACCGATAGAGGCAGAAGGATGAGAAGGCTGTTGGTAAGAGCATGTGATGCCGGTTGTAGTCTAGGTACGTCAGTCCATGTCCTGGGATGAAGAGAACGGCACACCAGGCAACCTGGGTGCGCCATGAGGAGGGGGGGGGAGGAAGCCAAGTGATGAGACAGGATGGGAAGATGGTGTGAGGAAGGTCACTGACTCACTCCATGGGCAGATCTCCTGCAGCAACCTTGCGCATCGGTGAGATCGGATGAGAGAAGAACTTGCTGTGCAGTCAGCTGCGAATTGGATATGATGCAGCGGGGGTGCGAGCAGCTGAGGCCTCGATGGTGGCGTTGGAGAGGTCGGTGTGAGTGAAGAGAGCAGGGCGAGGGGCTCGAGGATGACGTTCCTTCCCTCCCTCATGGACTACTCGCATGTCGACAAGACTCTCGGGCAGGCTAAGATCCCCGAGGACCTCCTGTGGAGGATCAGGTCAGTCGACACCTTCACCTCCTATGACTTCCAGCTGGACGGAGTGAAGGCCGTCATGGAGGATGGTTCTCACGCTGAGAACCCGGAGCCAGAGCAGCCCACGTTCGAGTGGAGGAGGTTTGCGACCCCCTCGGTGGGGCTCAGGTGGAAGAAGGTGAGGAGAGTGGAGGGGAGAGGGTGAGGTGCGATGACATGGTGTCCTCCTACCTGTACCCCTGCAGGTTCCCCTGCTGGATCCCTCGGAAGCTTACTACCACGAGCTCGACCCTGACACCGTGAACATGCAGAAGCGGCTGACGATGAGGTGATGGCTGTCCGGGCTCGAGGGATCTCAGGTGCTGACATTGAGGGGGGGGGGGCCGGCAGAGCGTTCAAGGCGTACGGGGGGAGCGAGTTTCTGCAGGAAGAAGAGTTTCTGGTGTCAGACTCGAAGAAGCAGTCGATTCAGACGACTGCAGCTGAGAGGACGAGAGTGCCCAGGGAGTTCTCAGAGAAGGTGGAGGCGGTGAAGGAGATCCAGGCCTTGGTCAGGTGCGTCGTCAACCCTCCTCGTCCTCCCGAGCTCGCTCTCATCTGCTGCTGCTGTCCTTCAGGAGGTTCTTCTTGCTGCAGCTCTACCCCTGGTACTACATGGCTCGCCTCTCCCTCTATGCTCCCGTCGCGTCGACGCACAAGCGCATGAGCAGGTTGGAGCGGCAGTCGCACATGATCGCAAGTCAGAGCATCTCGTCCAACATCTCCATCCTGCCATGGTGAGAGAGGCGAACTTCCAGCTGAGCTGCGAGCTGAGGGAGGACAGGTGTATGTGCTGGAAGACCCTCGAGCCACAGTTCCACCTCGACAAGTCGAGCACGAGGCAGATGCGGAGGATCCTTCAAGACTTTTCAGCGGTGAACGTACGTCCTCCTGCTCTGCCCCTCTCAAGTTTCCCTCCAGGGCCACTACGAAGACTGTCTTCGAAGGGTCGACAACCTGATCCTGCGGCAACGGAGCGGCGCGCAGGACGAGAAGTGCCTAATCGAGCTGTCGGCTCTCTGCAACCGGTTCGGCATGTCTCTGTTCACGAGGGACGAGTTCGAGCGCGCACACGCGTTCTTCTCCAGGGTCCTGGACATGACCAACATCAAGAACAACTCCATGTACGCCGCCTCCTGCTCGCCTTGTGAAGCCTCGCTCATCCCCTCCCCCTCCGCAGAAAGTTCTCAGCCAAGTCAGAGATCTACGCTTGGACCTGCGACCTCGTCGCGTATTGCCTGTGGTGCCAGGAGAAGCACGAGGTTCCTCGTCCTCGTCCTCGTCCTCATTCTCTGTCTCCGTGCTCTCTCCTACTCCTTCCCCCTTGCTGCGACGACGCTGACGTAGACCCCAGCAAGCGCTCTGGACGGTCTCGAGGGTCTCTCAGCAGGACATCCCCTTCAACGTCCGGGTGGTCAACCAGCTGCACGTGACCCAGCTCGCGCTCAAAGTCAACAAGACAGGCAGAGGCGGCAGGGGAGGAGGAGAGACGCTCTGACGGCAGCCGCAGACATCGCCATCAAGTTGGGCTCCCGCGTCCTCATCGACCTCATGAAGTCAAAGTTCGACCACAAGGTCCTCGCGCGTAGGAGCGGCAGCCCGAGGAGCAGGGAGGCAAAGGTTCCTCCTCCTCCTCCTCCTCCTCCTCCTCCTCCTCCTCTTCCTCCTGCTCCTGCTCCTGCTCCTCCTCCGCCGCCATCCTTTGCCATCCTCCCCTCCTGCTCCTCCTCTTCACCTGACCCTCTGACAAGGCTCGCCAGGAGATCTTGCAGATAGTGGACCGGAAGGACGAAGCACAGGAGCCGAGCTCGCCCTCCTACGATGACCTGCTGGCCCATCAATCGCAGACGCTCTGCTTCGCGCTCGTCAAGGCTGGGAGGTGAGGACGGGGAGAGGTCGAGCCGCAGGGAGCTGAGGTGAGGGCCAGGCCGCAAGACGCCATCATCATCTCCAACGCGCTGAGGAGGAAGATGGAGGAAGGTGGGGATGTCAGCCCTGACATCGTCCGATGCAACCAAGAGTTTGTCAGCTGGGCGGAGGAGTATGAGGAAAGGAAGCAGGCGGCGGAGAGGAGCCATGCTGCCGCTCTCTCTCCTGGCTCTCGCTCCCGCTGGAGCTTGCGCGATCAACCTTGTTTCGAGCAGACCTCCAGCCGTTCGCCGTCGGGGACGAGCGAAAGAAGTTACAGCCAAGCGATCCTAAGGTGAAGTTGGGAGAGGAGGAGGAAGAGGAGAGGAGGAGAGGAGGAGACAAGCAGGGGTGCGGGGAAGAGGCGGAGGACGAACTCAACGAGGGAGCAGGTCCACGCAGAAGCTCGGGAGGAGGGGGTTGTCACATGAGGAGTGCGGGCAACTGATGAAGCCGGACGACTACTTCATAGCAGCAGGAGCAGCTCAGTTCGAGCCGGGGAAGGAGATGTCATGGGCAGGGGTAAGAGCGAGAGAGTAACATGCTCGTGTTGCCTTACGAACCGCTGCAGAACTTCTTCGGAGACACTTACTGGCAGAGACATTCCTCCCTCCGTCCCTCTAAGGAGTATGAACGGAACAACTCCAACCTCCTCCTCACAAGGCCTCCCTTCAAGTAAAAACGTTTCCCAGCTTTTGTTCCTACTCCTACTCCCTCCTCTCCCCATTCCCTCTTCTCCCTCCTCCTCTTCTCCCTCCTCTTGAAGACTTTTGGCGAGCCGCCAGTTGGCTTCAATAATCTCCTTCCTGCTCTGTTCGTGCGTCTCGACGTCCGCTAGATCTGTGCGAGGGTTGGCCTCCCTTGTCTTGCTCGACCTTTGCTTGCTCCACGGGCTCATCCGCCTCCTCCTCCTGCCTCTGCATCTCCTCGCTCGCTCCGTTCAGCTTGTGCTCCCCGTTGAGAGACTCAACGGATGAGCGGAACTCGTGCCTGGCCGCATGAAGCAGCTCGCTGGGCACTGGACTTTCCATGTCATCCTTGGAGAATTCGAAGGACTGAGAGTCGACGCTGTTGTTGTCGAGGATGGTGTTGGTGCTGGACTGAGACACGAAGATCGACCACGCTCCGTTCCCCGTCACCACGTTCTTGCTGATGTTGGCAACGCTCTCCTCCACCACACAGATGCCTACCTGTCGATTCTGGAAGACCCTGTTGGAGGAGATGACGGCGCGGGAGCAGAAGCTCATGCAGATCCCCGCGATGGCGTTGCGGGTGATGTTGTTGTCGTCGATGAGCGCCTGTGCTGACGTGTTGAGCATCACTCCGACCTGCGAGCAGAGGTCGATGTCGCACCCCGACACCGTGCACTGAGATCCGAGATCCCCGACGAGGATACCGCAACCGCACTTGACAACGTGGCTCTTCTCCACTGTAGCACAGCCCTGCTTCGACACGTAGATGCCATGGGCGTGACAATCCTGAACGTCACAAAAGCGCAGGAGGCAGGAGGCAGACTTGCTGATTCGGATCCCGGTCCGCCCTCCCTTGATCAAACACCCCTCCATAGTCAGGTCCCCGCACATGTTGTCCACTGCGCAGCTCTTCCTGCTCCCCACTATCGTTAGGTTGCACATTCGAACCTCAGACGCTTCCAGCAGCACAGTCGCCGAGCTCGCCGCCCCCCACACGAAGTCATCAGGCATCTCGATCACGACGTCCTGCACCTTCCCCACTCCGATCAGCTGCACTCGCTTCCGGACAGCGATCGCCTCCCTGTATCGCCCTGGCTCCACTCTGATCAGATCTCCGTCTCTCGCCGAGTCCAGCGCTTCTTGGATGGTCTTGTACTCCCCCGGCACCTGCAGGACACGCTTCTTGTGCGCCAACTTCACTGCCTGGATCCCCTTGTCCACGATGGCGAGAGATTCCGGCCGAACAAACTGCACCGCTCGTCCGAAGCTTCCATGGACTCCCTCCTCCAGCCTTGACTTGGAAGTCTCCGCATCCCAGTCGTACGCTCTCAGCTCACGGGACGCGATGCCGACGGCGCTGGTGGTGGGAAGCCCCCCCTCCCAGTCGTTCATCTTGAAGAAGTGCTGAAAGCTGCAGTCCCTCATCTCCTTCGATTCAAAGCACCCCATGTCGATTGGTGCTCAGCGATATGAGGAAAGAATAACAACCAAAACACAAGACTATCAACGTCAGTAGCTCATCCCAGCTTATCGTGGGCTGGCAGTTGTCTCCTCAATTCCCTTCACTCAATGTTTTCAGTCTTCAAGTGCCTGCAAACAAAGATTATGAGTTGATGTGATGTGATGTGATGTGATGTGATGTGATGTGATGTGATGTGATGTGATGTGATGTGATGTGATGTGATGTGATGTGATGTGATGTGAGAGATGTGATGTGAGAGGAGACGAGATGAGTTGAGAGGAGAAGAGATGAGATGAGAAGAGATGAGATGAGATGAGATGAGATGAGATGAGATGAGATGAGATGAGATGAGATGAGATGAGATGAGATGAGATGAGATGGAAATGATAGGGATGGCTCTCAACCAGGCTCAAAGCTCACTTGTGTGTAACTTCTTTCATTTACACGTCCCGGTCTGTAAATAACCGAATTCATCTTCTCGCTACATGATCGTGCCCCCCTATCCCATACATCTTCTCGCCATTGACCCTGCCACAAACTACGTGTCTCTTCTCCAGCCATACCTCGTGATCTGTCTCTCTCCTCTCCTCTCCATCTCTTCTTTTCCTTTCCCACCCTGCCTACGTGCATTCTCGCATCGTCGATACGATCCAACGATTCCAGGTGTGGGGTAGGGTAGTCTGATCAAGGGGGGTAGGGTCATTAAAGGGTGGGGTAGTATAGCCCAAATTGTTCTTTCCACCAAGTGGGGAAACAGCAATTGTTGTGGATGGAGGAGGTAGGGGTCATCAAACAGAGGGTTGTGGAGTTGATAGGCGGGGTCATCTAAAAAGGGGTGTCTCAAAATAGGAAGTTGAGTAACGATGGCAGGACTGTAGCCGGCGATCGATGGCTGATGCAGTGAACGAGGGGCGGAGAGAGGGAGGGGAGGGAGGGGAGGGAGGGGAGGGGGCAGGAGAGATGAGAACAAGTTGCAGGAGACTGGTCACGGGGATCAGATGAAAGTCAGAGCCGCACCTGGAGCTGCAACTCTGCGACGAGAAATTTGCTGACGAGAATGTAGAGCATAGAAGCAATGAGCCCCTCTGTAAATTTTCGTAGATGATCTACAAGGTATTAGCGTTGTTTCCCTTACTTATAAACGGTTTATCCAAATGCTGCATCGCTCTCCTCTCCTCGCTTCTCCTTCGCTCTCCCTCCTAAGTACATACGCAAGTGTTCATCACCTTTTGATCTGCAACCATTCATTCACGTTCATTCTTTTTCTTGGGAAAGCACGAAGCTTGAGAGGTCCAGGTTTGGTCTTTTGCTACAGCATATCACGACGTCATGAGCGTGAGAGGTTTTTGTTTACTGTACAACAGAAGAAACAAGACAGAAATGGTACTAAATTACAGCTGCAGGCAAACAAGACAAAAGAAAGACGACAAGAACACTACAGGTTACAGCTTCAAATTTCAGTCGACATTGATTTTAGGTTTGCCCATCTGTCGGAACTATTTCACCGCAATGAACACGTTTTCTCTTCTGTCGCATCCCTGTCTCGTGACTGCGTTGCTCGAGGCCTCGGAGCTGTCGAGCATGTAGCACGTTCAGCAGCAAAAAGCTTCCTTCCCCTGGAACAACACAAGTTTTTGGTTCGCGATCATCTTTCATGGTTGTTTTCATCGATGATTCCTTTACAACGCCCCCAGCACTGTCCTCTTGCTTCTTCACGAACTGCTTCTGACTCGCGTCCAGCTCGAACCGCCTTCGTTTCGCATTCAGTTTTGGGACGAAGAAATCGATACATCTGGGGTCGGGCAGAGTGATGAAGAGAGGAGCATTCATGGTGGGCTGAGCCAAGAGTGACACGAGATCGGATTGGCAGCAGTTTGTGACGGTAGGTGCGGGGAGGACCGGGAGGTGCAGAGCAGGTAATCACGTCACCTTTATCATGGATGCTTACTAAAAAGTGCTTATTGAGCATCATCAATATTTTACTACAGGGACAACGTCACGACCTTTTCCTTTGACCCCTTGACACCACGTTGAACTTTGCATAAATTACGTTCACCGGACTCGAACTCACATCCCACTTGACATCAAATGCTGTGGTGACCAACCTTGCGATGCTCTCTACATTTTCCGAATAACACTCTTGTTCGTAACTTTTGTCCGACATGTCAAAGATATGGAGTTGTGAAATTACATTTCAATGTCTTCATCGTACCGGTTTAATCACGTGTGCATTTACAAGAAATTCATCCTACTTCATCGTTGAGGTGTCATAATACTATCGTGTACAGTGCTCTGAACTTGGCGTTATTCCAGCTCATATCACATTGTGACTCTGATTCTTAGCGAGGATTGTCTGCGCGATCTTGATGATTGGCGTGTACATGGTTTCAAGTTCTTTCGCATACGCCCTTAGTCTTGTCTCCCCCTCCACCGTCTTCTGCATACCCAAAATCGTCTCGTCCTGGAGAGTCAACGAAACATCAGGCAAGCACGCAGACGCTCTAAGGAGTACCGCGAACAAGTCAGTTTCGAAGCTCCTCATAAGCTCGTCGTAGGATCTTCCGTTGAGAGAGAGCCTTGAGAACTTAGACGCCTCGTTCCCAGACTTCATGGCATCTTCGAACTGATGCTTGTCCAGCTGCCAAACAGTAGATTGTCAAGGCGTTGGGCATTGACGCATCTAAAAGAGATAAGATCTAGATCAATCTACACTCACCGTAACGACGTATGACTTCATTGACCGAGACCGTCCCGTCCAATCCAGGTCTTGCTTCTGGATCAGGTGTACAATACAGCACTCGCCCTCTGAGTTGGCTCCCAGCTTTCTGGACCGCGCGTACATGGAAAAAGTCTTGGTCGGATTCGTTGCAAACGACCAAATGCTATACATGACGTAGCTGAAGTAGGCGAATTCCGTAGACAGAAGGGGCAGTTCACGATTTGCGATTCTTGAAAGGATTTCTTCCACGTGGATTCCTATGCTCGAGCTCCACCCTTGTGATACATAGATATCTGCCCTCTTCCCAGTCTTGGGGTCCAAGTGGTGCTTCACGAACCCAACACTGGTTTCGTGTTCAAAGAAAACCCTCTCCACTTCCATCCCTCCAGAGGAGGCGTCTTCTTGATTCGACAGCACGTCGATCGGAGGCAGACTCTTTTGCTTCTCGACGTACAGGATTTCGATAGCATGCAAGGCTCGCAAGGTGATGGACTTGAGATAAGGTGGAAGGTTGACGAAGATGTTGATAATGGCCCTCGAGTCATAACCAAACTCACAGATTCGCGCCATCACCATGTTCGGCCAGCCCATCGACGTCATGGCCTCGCGCAGCTGAGACGGCCTGTCAAACCTTAGCGACCTCGTGTTGAAGGGGATGGGGCGCTCCACGTGATCCATCCAGCTGTCGCGGAACAAGGATGATACATCATGGGCGAGGGGAGAGCGCGAGCCAGCGCACGATGCGATCCTCTTGGTGGCGATGTTGGATTTCATAGACACCTGCTCCTCATCTTCGACATCCAACGGCCTTTTGTGGGAGATCACGGTTGATACTATCATGCCCTCTGGCTCCTTCTTGCGTTCCAACATGAAAAAGTCTGAGCTTCTTGTTGAATGAAAATCGTCACCAAACACATCCAAGTTGACAAGAGCCATTCTCGTCGACCAGACGCAAAGTTGGTGTCAACTGGGTGTCTGCAAATCGAGTAAGAATAAACAAGAATCAGAATATCATCACAGAGCAGCACAACAGCAAAAAATATTTTGGTTTGGCCTGGCCATCGGTTCCCACCTTTATCTCTTCTTATCTCCACTCTGGCAAGCCCTTCATCTTCTCTCATCTTACATTCGCTCAAAAATCGTTTTCCTGCCCTCTGTTCTTGCCTGAACCTCTCCTTGCCCTCCAATTCTGTTCTTTCATTACTCAACAATTGCTTTGTAAATGACTTCTGCCCTGCCCTGCCCTGCTCTGGTCAGCTCAGCTCATTTCATGATCAACATCCTCTGTTCTATTGTATCTTCACTGTTCTCCTGACTTGTTTGCTTCTCTCCTGTTTGTCTTGTCTGTCATTCTTCTACAAGCCTTTCCTCCCTCCCTATCTCATGGCCAGCATTATTCTCCGCCTCCCAACAGCTCAAAATGTAATATAAAAACTACCTAAAATGACTGTTTAGTACCACATGAGTAAAAGCGCCATCTCCCAAGATACGGGAAATCGTGCAAAAATGTTTTGAAAGTAATTTTCAGTACTGATATCTCATAAAATAATTATTAAAATTGAAATGGGTTTTAAAGTGTAAAAAAGAAACACGGACTCCTGGGACATTCGAGGCTCGTAACCTGTGAATGGGATATGGTGGGTAACGTGAGCATGCTGACATAATGTCTCTGAAAGGATGTGTTTTGAAGTCGGGGATGCTCATTTTGCCTGTCAGCATGCTGACGTCCTGATCCGGCGACCCGTCCGTGGTCTTATCTTCTCCTCCTCCTCCTGCGGATTTAAGCTCTACCCATCTGCTGTCCTCTTCCTCAACCGCCTGCTAAACGATCAGTCAGCCTTCCTCTCTGGCCGTTGTTTTGCTCCCTGTTCTCCTCTCCTCTGGTATTGATCCTCGTCCCAATCGTCACATCCTTCGCTCCGCTCCGATCGTCTTGGGGTTCTCCTTCTCGAACCCCTCTCCTGCCCTCTCCTGCACTTCCCCTTCCTTCATCCCTGCCTCTTCTCTTGCCGCCCTTCCCCGTCGCATGAGGAAGCGATGCCTCTGAATATCCTCGTTCCAAGTGCTTATTACCTTCAATGGCGGAGTTCGACAGGGGTACGCAAGTGCTCGTTCAAGCTCGATTACAATCAGAAGACATTTATGCGAAAGCAGAAGAAAGTCATGGTTGAAACCAAGTGGCAGGTGGACGGCAAGGAAAAGGCATCCAGCTGCTATGCGAACATACTGTCTGCTCGGCTAAAGAAGCTGAAATGCAAGGAGGAATCGTCATGACGGATGACAGAGCGCTATTACAATTTTTCACCGGTGAATCAGTTTTAATCAATAGAGAATTGCATACAAATCTTTACATCTCCTACCCAAAAGAACAAGTGAGGATGAGATCTCTGATGCGATATTCACGGAGAATCAAAAGTATCTCGAAGCAACCGATGTTAGAATGATGTTTCAAGGTGTAGAAACGGCTGTAGCGAGTTTGGTAGGAAATTGCTACTTAGGGGAGGAGTCGATGAGAAGATGTTCAGGGAGAGAGCAGGCAGATCAGGAGGGAGGCAGGGAGGCAGGGAGGGGGGAGTGGGGAGGCATGTTCATTCAAGGCAAAGCTTCCTGCGAAGCAGCTCACTCGCCTCGCTGTCGAGCGAGTTGACCATCTCTGCGAAGACCTTGAAGTGAAGGTCAAGAGTCGAGAAGAGAACAAAAGGAGAAGAGAAAGAGAGAAGAGAAAGGGAAGAGATCAGAAAGAGAAGAGCAAGAGAAGGAGAGCTGAGCTGAGAAGGAAAAGAGGGGAGAGAAGAGAAGGAAAGGGAAGGGAAGAAGAAAGGAGAGGAGACGAAAAGAGAGGGGAGAAGAGAGAAGGAGAGAGAGGAAAGAGAGAATAAAATGCGAGCGGGAGAAGCGGGAAGAAGATAGATGAGAGGAGGAAGAGGACGACGTGGTGTGAATTAGCCGAGACAACAGAGGAGGACAAGGATGCTCGCAGAGAGAAGGAACATGATCGTGCTCACTCACCGTGTTTGTATCCCCGAGCAGCTCTCGTGGAGTCCCGTACTCGATGGCTCGCCCTGCGGGTTGAAATCAGGAAAGTAGGAGAGGACATGGCTGACATCGAGAGAGAGCCGAAGCAGGAGCAGGAGGATCTTGAGGGAGTAGAGATGAGGTGAACAGGAAGGGGGGAGTGGAAGAAAGGGTTGAGGGTTCAGGTTTACCTTTGTCCATAACCAAGACCTTGCTGCTTCCAACCAACGCTTGCAACCTGTGGGCCACCTGAACAAACTGTGAGAAAGAAGCGAGGGGAGGGGAGGAAGTGAAGGGTGAAGGAAGGAGACGGCGAAGCGACCGTGTGGAGATCCTTTACCTGGATAACGGTCGCTTGTGACGCAGACTTGGCAATCTCCTTGATGACCTGAAACAATTCTAAACACCAAGAATGATACTGGTAGTGATGGTGATGGAGGAGGAGGGCATATGGCATTATGAGGATGGTTCTTACTCTCATCTCAGACTCCAGGTCGAGAGAAGATGTAGCTTCGTCTAGCACCAGGATCTGAGGCAGGAGGGTAACACGTCAATCACCAACAGAGGGAAGTTGGATTGAGGGACATCGGAGGGCAAGGAGGAGAGAAAGAAGGAACGTCTCGTGGAAGGGAGGAAGCGAGGGAGGCAGGGAGGCAGGGATAGGGGGGAGGGAGGCAGGCAGGGAGGCAGGGATAGGGGGGAGGGAGAGGATCTTCTCATCTTACCTTCCGGTCTCTCAGAAGTGCTCGAGCTATGCAGATCAGCTGTCGCTGCCCGTGCGACAAGTTTTCTCCCAGGTCGGCGACCTGGCGAGTTTCAGTTTTGACGAACTCGTCGCGGCCCTCGCAGCAGTAAACCTCTGCTTCGAGCCCTCCCAGACTTTCAACTTTCTCCTTTAGCCCTGTCAACTGTGACCAGAGAGTGAGGGAGGAAGCGGGGAGCAGAGAGGAGTAGGAGAAGGAGACGGAGTAGGAGGAGCAGGAGCAGGAGGTAAGATGGAGCAAGGGATATTCCGCACAAGAAGAAGCAACGGGAGGGAGAGCAGGACAGGACAAGGGAGGAGAGGAGGTTGTAGGCCATATGGCTTGATTTGAAACCTGTAAGATGTTCCAAAGGTGACTGTCAGAATCATGCTCGTTGTGGGGGTCAAGGTTCTTTCTGAGTGAGCCGGAGAAGATAATCGGGTCTTGACTGACGATCTGGCGCGTTGAAAACTCAGAGAACAGACATGTCACTTGCCTCATGATCTACCGAGATGGAAGACCTCAATGTCGTCAGCCCCAACTTGCCGATGTCAACATTGTCGATCGTTATGCTGTTGGGCGTTGAGATGTGAACTGACAGGTCTCATCGCTCTTCTCCCCTCACCTTCCTTGCTCGCAGTCCACCAGACGCTGCACAGCAGAGAGAAAGAGCAGGTGAGAACTTTGGAACATTCCAGTCAATCGATCATTACGAGCAGCGCTGTGACGACAGAAGATTTCCCTGCTCCTGTTCTCCCAACAATCCCTGTCATAGCATCAACATCTCGGCCTCCTGCTGCTGTTCTTCGCTCTCACCCATCTTCTCCCCCGCTGCAACGAACAGGGAAAGTCCGTTGATTGCTGGAGAACTCTAATGATAGGAAGCAGCATTCTTGTCATGGGCAGAATTTGCTGTAATCAAGAGAAGGAGCAGATAGGAGAAGATAGGAGAAGGAGAGAGAAGGAGAAGGAGAGAGGAGAAGGAGGAGAGAGGAGGAGAGAGGAGGAGAAGGAGGAGAGAGCAGAGAGCAGGAGAGTTGCTGATTGATGGCGACGAAGATGATGCCTTACTTGCGATGGATATCTCATGACGACTTGTCGAAATTCAACAGCACCTTCATCCGTCATCACTGATCATCGGGAGTACTCAATAACCCCTCCTCACCGCTCCTGGGCCATTCAGGGTCAAGCTGATCCTCAAAATCCGTCCGACCAAGATTTTCTCTGCGTTGTTTGATCAATCTCAACAACATCGCACGAAGGCCGATCAGAAGGAGAAGACGAACGAGAGGCTGTATACAGGGACGGAAACAACTAGGGAGAAAGCGCTGGTCCTTACCTTGGTGTCTTCCGGCAGTACCTCAACAAACTTTCTCGGACTCTAGCAAGGTCCTGTTGATGACTGTCAGTACTCTCGAAACATGTCCACGATAACGAACTGACCTGAAGGTCAAGCTTGCGAAGAACAAATGCATGCACGCAGAAAGAGCCAAAGCAAAGGTTGAGAATCATGAAAGCTGAAATTGAAAGATTACTGTGGTCATTACAACTATGATCATCGACAACAAAACAAAAACAACAACATCGTCATCGTCGTCGTCGTCGTCGTCGTCATCGTCGTCTTTATCATCATCATCACCTTCATCGCCTTCATCATCATCATCATCATCATCATCATCATCATCATCATCATCATCATCATCATCATCATCTCCATCATCTCCATCATTTCCATCATGATCACAAAAGCAGTCACCAGAGTTTGCAGGTGAGACAGCAAACGCGTTGGACGCAAGTCCATGTTTGGCGGTGTGGAGCACAATCCCGACGGCAGTGACAGTGTAGAACAAGACAGAAAGAAGCATTGTCATCACCTGGAGAACAACACCATCAGCCTCTAAACTTTTTGTTCCTTTGAGTTTACGATACCATCAACCAAGAATCTGTCTTGCAAGACATCAGCGCGATCTGGGTATGAGCATCGAATCGTTTTCTGCAGGAGATATCCATCAGGATGGAAAGTTCGATTCTGTACACGCCCTCTCATCGTTCTCACTCAAACTCTTTCAGCATGATCTTCTGATGTCGGTAGGCCCTGATGGAAGGGAGTCCCTTCGGAACGACTTTCAGGCAGGCCACCCGCGGGAGGTTGTAACGGCAGAGACCTCTAGAGTTGTTGAGAAGTGAGCGAGGATAGACGGACGGATCTTCTCGTGCAAGGTTTTCAACCCCTTGCAGGATTTGAACGTGTTGGAGACCTTGTGAGTAAAGACAAGTCAGAGGATACATGTCTAGGTCTGTACATCACTATCCACGTCATGATATGAACTCACGATACTTGTCGTATATGTTCATACCATGACGTGCATCTTGACGCATCGTGATATCGTGTCAAGATCACTGGGAAACAAGACTTACATTGTTGATGAGGAAGAGCGTGATGAGTGCGACTACTACCAACCAGTATACGTAGAAACAACACAGAACAGCAATGGCTGTTGAAAAACAATCAACGAGGAAAGAAAGTTCACATCATGGCATCTTGTACCAATGCCATAGCAGAAGCCGTAGAGAAAGAAATCAGATGCCATCAGGACCTGCAACATTTTTGTCATCCAGCCTGTTCCCCTTCCGAGCTTCCTCCTCACGGAAAGATCCAGTTGAGCGAGGGATTGAGCGAACAAATTCACAACCTTCCCGCTTTCGATCTGCAGACAGAAAAGTCAGCCCCTCTTTCACGATCATCAGAGGCTTCATCGTCATTCATTGATGCACTCATTCATTGAAATCTTGATCGTGTTGCTATCATCATGATTGTTGTTCCATCATGATTGTTATCATATTCATCTTCATTGTCATGTAATATCATCTTCTTCGCACCTGATCGAGGTGCGCGACGGGGCTGCCAAGAACGCTCTCCACCAGCTCTCGATGCTGGTGGGCTACTGCCCGGGAGGTTCCGTAGATGTAAACGAAATTGCGAACCTGGAGACGAGACTCAAAAAGACTTTAGGACATTCTGATCTCCTACCGCACAGGCAAACAACTCGGCAATGACGCAAGCGGCGTAGAAAGGAAGATAATAACTATGAGATGCATCAGCTGGCCTGTCTTTACCTCTGCTCGCGCCATCACCCTATCTGACTCGTCGACTTCTCTGGATTCTTCAGACCTTCGTCCGCCCATCTGCATTGAGACAAGAAAAGAAGTCTCACTCCACCAGACAAGAAACAATCAGCAAACATCATAAACTTCACATCGTCATTTGACAACTTGAGTTTACACATCAGTTCACATGTGACACAAGACACACAATCTGCCAACATCCTGAAGTTTCTCACCCAGCAAGAATGTAGACACCGAGCTCGACCATCCCTCCTTCAAAGGCGATGATGGAGACAGCGAGGAAAGCATACCAATACCCGCCAACACCTACCCGACGCATCATGTACAGGAGGAGGACGGAGAGCGAGTCAACAGACTAGACAAGAATGAGAACAGAGAGCTGGAGACAACCTCGAGCAAAGTTCTTGATGAATGTCAAGATCCCTTCTGGCACATCCTCATCATCATCAAACGTCTCCTCGACGCAGGGATCTATGATATTCATCTCTATGGCATCAAATTCCTTGTCCTCCCCCGCTGACTTCTCCATCGCACCAACAGAGTTCTGTTTGTGCAGACTGTAGTAATCGCCAGACACCGTCAGCCTGCCTTGCTCGAGGTGAAGGAGCTTGTGGCAATCTTTGAGAACAAACTCATCATGAGACACTATCAGCCTTGTTGAATCCTTCATGATGCCACAGATGCAATGCTTCCAGACATGCAGCCTTACTTTCATGTCCAGCGCCTGTCAGAGACAGAAATGAGAAGGGAGAATAAGAATGAGGAGAGGAGCAAGAAGTCAGATGAAAATGATTCACCGCTAGGGGGTCGTCAAGAAGAACAAAGGGTGAATTGCCATAGGCTGCTCTTGCCAGGCTGAGACGTTGCTGCCAGACACGTCAGAACAGGAAATCCTTACTTCAGCGAAGAAAGAACACAAGACAAAGTTGAGAGGGCAGGGCAGGGCAGAGCAGGGCGGGGCAGGGCAGGGCGGGGCAGGGCGGGGCAGGGCGGGGCAGGGGAGGAGAGATCAGAAAGCAGGGATACAACGATGGACTTCAGCAACATTTTCCCTCCCACCTTACCTTCTGTCCCCCAGAGAGATTTACCCCTCTCTCTCCTATCCTGGTCAGATCTCCCTTGGGCAACAGGACCAGATCCTCGCTCAGCGCGCAAGCCTCGCACACCTGCCGGTACCTCTCTTCCTCCCACCTCCTCCCCAGCAGGATGTTTTCCCGCAGGCTTGCGTTGAAGATCCAGGGGTTCTGCGGGACCCAGGCAACGGCAACAGGAAGACGTCGCAGGCTCCTCATCGTCCCCCGAGCGGGAGAGATCTCTCCCATCAACGCGAGCAGGAGGCTGGTCTTGCCGCTTCCTACTTTCCCCTCGATCCCCACCAGACTCCCTGAGTCAATCCTGACTGTCATCCCCTCAAGGAGGGGAGGGAGGGGAGGAGAGTTGGTCTCTTTGCCCCCCCTTAACTGAGAGGAAGGCGAAGTGGGATCCTGTCTTGCTGTCGTCGTTACCTCGCGCGCTGCTTGTCTGCTCGTTGTTCCATCCTCGTCCTCTCGCTCAGGATTCACATCCCATGCAAGGTCCACATCCTCCATCCAGATGCCTTCCCGCAGAAAATCTTCGACATCCTCCTCCTCCTCCTCCTCCTCCTCCTCCTCCTGCTTGTTCTTCCTTTGCTCATTTGACCCTCGTCCGTCCTTGCTAGTAGCAAACTCTTCGATATCAAAGAAAGTCTCGAACCTCATCAAAGCTGCTGATCCCTGCGCCCAAGTCCGGACACTCTCAGGGAAGTGGAAAATCTTCCAACAAGGTGTAAGATCGAGATCGGAGAACAGAAAACCATCAAAAACAAATTCACAATGGCAATCACGATCATCGAAATTGCTCCGACAGCCAGCAAGGTTTGCATGTCCACATGGATAAAGTGACAGCGTAGAGACTTGCCTTCCCGTGGAGGAGGGCCAGCAGGACCCAGTAGGCCGCGAGGACAGCGGGAGTGAGCGGGTTACCCGCCGCTGCCGTGTAGAGAGCGACGATAGCGAGGGATATGACATCGACAGCAGGATTCGACGACACGTTGACCTGGTCACGTCCGAAGTCACTCTCACCGCCCTTCTCTCTCTCCTGCAAGATCACCAGAGCAATCCACCTGCCCATGTGAGCCCAAAGTTGGAGCTCGTGAAGTTTGGAGTCAATTAATTTGCGCTCAAACCTTGTAATAGGAAACGGATGTCATGCGCTGCATTGTCTCTGATGGGATAGTCGATGGCTCACCTCGACTCCCATGCGTTAAACTTGATCGCTTTCATTGCGCTTACACACTCGTTCACCTACACTGGAGTTAGGTTGAGACATCCATCGAAATATGTGACAAGCTGCAACAAGACAGGACATCTCCTCCTCCATCACCACCAGCACCAGCACTAACAGCATCAGCATCAACACCATCGTCCTACTTCTCTTCCTTCCTCCCCTCCACTACCATCCACATACAAAGAGCTGCTCACCAACTGCGAATGCTCCTCAGCAGCATTAGCGCGCATGACCGAAACTTTCTCTAATTTCTTGCTGGCGAGCGAGGAAAAGAAGATCGACAGCACCACCACCGCTATCCCCCCCACCGACGCCCACTCCACGAAGATGTAGAGGGTTGCGACCAGTGAGAGGATCTCGACCGGTTGCAAGCACAGGGTCAGAACAGCGCTCCAGTAGGAGAGGATCATGTCAGAGCTGCTGCTGCACAGCTCTGCGATCTGCCGCAAGTTCACCGAGTCACATGCTGGCGGCCGTCTTGTTCACGGCGACTTACCTTGCCGACATACCCCGAGAACGCGTCCGTCAGCGGCAGACGGAGGCACTTGCGGTACGTCACACCACTGAGAGCTGCTACCGTCCACAATCCCATCACCTGCCATGTCGCATGTCAGTTTCACGTCCTCCCATCGTACAACTCAGTCTGTCACGTTGCAGCGATCCACGAAGTACTCCTTCGCCAACGAGCTCGACACGTTGCACAGCCCCAGCAGAGCTGCAAGGAGGAACCCCTGCCACTGTGGCGGATCTTCCTGCTCCATCCACTTGAGGAGGAAGTAGGCGACGACTGGCATCCCGATGCTAAAAATGGTGTGCATAGCATACAGGACGACCGAAACCAGGATGTCCTTCCATAGGATCTGACGCAAGATTCTCCTCATTGTGAACCCTTGCACGTTGCGCTTCAAATGCTTCTCGAGAACATCCGCTGCGCTCCACACCTGCCGGTGAAGGCGTCATCAGGGCCGGGGAGAGGACGAGGAGATATCCAACCTTTAAGGACGCGTCGATGTCAAACAGCCGCGACTGGAGGCTCTTCACACTGAAGGAGAAGGAGGTGTCTGTCTTGTTTGCGAGCTCCTCCATGTTTGCTCCTGGAGATTTCCCTTGCTGCAGGAGAGAGGAGCGTGATGAAACGCCGCGGACAAACAGGACGTCATCACTCACCTTGAGAAATGCGTACGCTTCCGAGAACAGGGGATCCCATTTGTATGCGGGGCCATCGTGCAGTTCAGACATTTCGGCAACAACGAGCGAGTGCTCTGGTCCTTCACCCCCTGAGAGTCCCCTGCTTGCTACAAGTTGACCTGCCCTTGAATAACTGTAAACTAGCTCGAGCAGGTGTCGTTTTGAATCGCAGCGCAAACTGGGGCTGGGATACAGATTTCAGCTCTCAGCTCCTTGTACCTTGTGCGAAGAGAGCAGATTATTTTCTCATGGTGTTCACTCCCATCCCTTCAACTTCGCCATCTCCATCATCTCCGTCCACATCGCCTCCGATCTTTATGCCATGCCACAAAGCACAGCATTGGATTGTGCAAATTATGCAGAATTATGGGAGAATAATCATAATTATAAACTCACGATAGGTAATCTGTATAATTATGTATTTCCACTTCACATACAAGCAAAATCATAATCCCACAAAAATCGCTGGTTCCCTTCAGGAGGGGTACTAAATCCAGGAATAATGGTGGGTGGGGGTACTGAAAGTTTGAGAGGGAGAAGTTTGGAGGTTCCTCCAAACTTTCCAAAGTTCCTTGCTGGCGCCATGGCGGCTGGGGGGAAGCGAGGAGGAATGAAGCGGCTGCGGCAGGTGAGGGGGTGAAGGAGCAGAGGAGATGAAGGAGCAGAGGAGATGAAGGAGCAGAGGAGATGAAGGAGTAGAGGAGATGAAGGAGCAGAGGAGAGAGGCAAGGATACAGCAGTAGACACGAGCAGTGATGTAGGGAGAAGATGATGAAGGAGCTGGGATCATAGTTGAGAGCTCTTACCACAGCTGACATGCTCGTTGAAAGGAGCTTGAAAGGTTTCACAAGGAACCTCCAGACTATATCCAGGTGCAACGTACATGCTGTCTACACACACACACACACCCTGCTGACTCTCAGAGGCCCAACCAGGTCGCAGTGAACGAGAAGAACATCTTCGAATGGCACTACCTGCTGGAGGGACCAAAAGAGACTCCCTACGACGGGGGTTGGTACCATGGGAAACTGATCTTCCCTCCGGAGTACCCCTTCGCTCCTCCTGGGTGAGCTGAAGACTTTGAGACAGTGGGGATTCGAAGGAGAAAGTTGGGGTGGTGGTTGGTGGGCCGGGTGGGTGAGGAGGAGGCAGAAGGGGTAGGGAGTGGGGAAGGAAAGAGAGTGGGATCTGATTCTTCATCACAGTATAATGATGCATACCCCCAGCGGGAGGTTCGAGACGAACATGAGACTCTGTCTGTCAATGAGTGACTACCATCCTGAGTCATGGCAGCCATCGTGGTCCGTTGCCACGGTGCTCCAGGGGCTCCTATCGTTCATGACTGGAAAGGAGATGACAACAGGCAGGTTGGAGCGAAGTGGGAGAGGGAGGTGACGGAGGTTGCAGGAGCGATCGAAACTTCTGATGAGGAGAAGAAAGCGCTGGCTCTTCGGTCTATGGAGCATAACCTCCGGAACCCTGTTTTCATACGCATGTTTCCTGATGCAGAGGAGCGGGCAAAGGCGAGGAAACTGGGGATCGCGCTTCCTGCCAAGGGCTCAGCTACTCTTGCGACCGATGAGGACAACGAAGAGGAAGGGGGAGGATCGGATGAGACGACAAGAAAGGACGAGGGGGGGGAGCAAGTGGAAAAGCGTGCATCCGAGGAGACGGGAAGCAGTTTGGACTGTGATGGGGAGATCCACAATTCGATCGAGAAGATGCAAATCAAGCAAGAGGTTAGCGCGAGGAATGTGCAGGACGAGCAGGGAGGAGCAGGAGAGAAGAAGACGGTGAGTTGCTGTGTCGAAGGAACTCGCAGCACCTACCTGCTGAGCCTTTGATCGCAGGAGACATCTGAAGACGGGGAAGGCGAGGTGCTGTGCGGGGGGATCGAGAAAGGAGCGACTGTTTTCATCACCGGGCTGGTGAAGCAAGCTCATCTCAACGGCATCCGGTGAGAGGCAAGGGAACTCGCGAGAGCGTTGAAGTGACATGGCCGGATGCGGCAGGTGCAGGGTGGAAGGCGGAGGAAGCGGAGGGCGGCTGCGAGTGAGGATGATGGAGTGAGATGGGGAGCGGTGTGACTACCACGATGCTCCTGACTGATGTGAAGGCCTCCGGGGAAGGAGATTCTGCTGAACTTGACGAACATCGAGGTGGAGTGAAGAGACGCTTGACAGACAAGGAGAGGACGGAGCTCGAGCGTGCTGTAAAATTCTCATCTTGCACGATCGACCTAGATACATTATCTTCACTTGTCCCTAGCCTTGTTGAACCGAGCGCGAAGCTTCAAGAAAGAGCTCTGGACTGTCGACTCCACCGCCGTCAACTTCTGGATGACCTGCGAACAGCGTTTGCGATCAGTCTCGTATTCCTCCAGACTGCTCGGCTCCACGAGCACGGCAACACATGACACTAACATCCCTTCCTACAACTCCTCACCGGCCGGAGCTGATCGAGATGCGCTGAGACTCTCTGTGTAGTTCCGTCGTCCTTGCTCTCTCCAAACTTGATTTGCAGTAGCGCTGAGAACGAGCTTGTGAGAAGCTGCAAAAGTCCCTCCCCCTCATCCGATCCCCTCATCCGATCCCCTCATCCCTCCCCTCATCCGATCCCCCAGTCTCTCCCCTTTCACCCGACACCCCAGTCCCTCCCTTCTTACCAGGATTCAACTTCATGTCCACCGGCATCTTCTCGATACTTTTCCCTAGCAAAACTTCGATTTCCCTGCTCGGAGATCAGCTCAGTGCGAGCAGGGGGCAACGTCAGCAGAAGGCCCAGCACGACTTCACCTCAAGATCGCCGGCTCGTCGTACCAGATGCAGTTCCCTCCCACCTCGTAGTCCCTCGTGTCATCGCAAGGAGGAGCTCTGCAGGGGAGCAGCTCAAAGAAGCGCCCAAGGGAGGAAAGGCTCACCTTCCTCCTGGCCCTCGTCCCTTCACGTTCTTCTGGCAGAACCACACACGCTGTCCATCTGGTAAGCAGCAGCAGCAGCAGCAGCAGCAGCAGCAAGCAGCAGCAGCAGCAGCAGCAGCAGCAGCAGCAGCAGCAGCAGCAGCAGCAGCAGCAGCAGCAGCAGCAGCAGCAGCAGCAGCAGCAGCAGCAAGAGCAATTACTTCTTTCTCGGTCGCAACAAAGGAGATCGCCTGTCATGTGCATCAACGAGGCGGCATGAAGTGACTGAGATCTTACCAATCCCATCTTGTCTGCACGACCAACTCGCCCAATACGATGAATGTAGTTTGCAGCAACATCTGTGGGAATGAGAGTGAATGTCTTGTTTATAACAATCTTGATCGTTTGCATCGTCTTCATCCCTCATCGTGTCGATATTGAATTCACAATCTCTCATGAAACCATTTGAACCATCTCCATCTTCATCTCCATCGTCATAGTTGTTACCTCATTGACTTGACCCTCTTCTACATGGTCAACACATCACCATCAACTTGTGTTCATCATCATCATCATCACCACCACCACCACCACCATAGTCACCACAACCTTACTGAGACAACTATCTTCATTCAAATTCGCACCAGGCAGCGTCATGTTCACCACGTACGGCAGTCCGGATATATCGATGCCTCTGGCAGCGACATCTGTAGCAATCAGAAATCGAACGTCTCCATCCTGATCGATTCATCAACCCAGGTACTGTAACATCCTCCCACCTTGAATGCTTGCAAGTTCTGTCTCCTCTCCTCCACTGATCTCCACCCAGCCAACACCACACAGGAATACGGGTTCTCCTTTCCCTAGCACTTGTCGTAAAGGACTTGATATTCAGTAAGGCGACAATGCTGTAACAAACCTTCTCAGCTTTCCCGTGGAACTTTCTACCTCCTCCCTGTTGGAAGGTGAGAATGGGCCAATCTGCAGGTCTCTGTGTTTTCATACCAGGGAGACGAGGTGTCTCTCCAAGTTGTCACAATCGAAGTTTGTTCTGCAGAAGATGAGGCAATGATCCATCTGTGCAAGACCATCACCATCACACCGCTCTCTCCATCTCCATCTCAATCATCTCCATCTCAATCATCTCCATCTCAATCATCTCCATCGTCTCAATCTCAATCCTCAATCATCTCCATTCCCACCATTGTTGTCTCCTTCCCTACCACCACCACCACCACCACCACCACCAGACTCGCCTTGAGATTGTCCACGAGTTTCACCAAGGCTGCAAGCTTGAGGCGTTTGATTCCCTCTGACCTGCTCAGGGGATGCGGGTTGGACGGGTTTATCATCCCTGCACGCATGTCAGAATCGATCTCGATCGGCCCCCTGTCAATCGTTCCTTTTCTCAGCTCAGCAAGGTGGACCTGCTAGGCGTCAGCTGGACTTGTCATGGGAAGACGTTGGTGTACCTCATCGGTAGGGTACTTGTCGTTCTTCCCCCAGGAGGTGTCGCGGGTCGGGTCGATGTCGTAGACGAGGTGATATACACTCTCCGGCACCTCCAGCCATCAGTCAGAGTCAACTTGCCAACAGTAGAAGGGGGGGGGAGGAGAGGGTTGAGTGCTTGCTAACAGTGAGGGTAACACAGGGTGGAGCAAGAGCATCGGAGCAAAGGGAGAGGAGGAAGAAGGAGCACGCGGCGGGGTGCAGGAAGTGAGGGAGAGAGAGGGGAAGGGGCGGGGAGGATCCGTCGAAGGTGCCGTGAACTTACTGAGTCCTTCCCCTTCAGGTCCACCCAGATGGGATATTGACAGATCTTGGCAGCCAGGGACTTGATCTCAGCCGAATGCAGAGTAGCCGAGAACATCAGAGTCTGCAGGCGATTTTCTCCTGCCCTGGAATGAACTTCGTCTGAACCATCCCACGACACTCACCTGCCCGGTCCTTGTTCAATCTAGAGAAGATGCTCATGATGGTAGGGAGATTTCCTGTCTCCAACAATCTGCAAACCCATCATCATCTCGTCTTGCACCTCCGACAAGCTCTGTCTCTTTTCTCCCACCTGTCAGCCTCGTCCAGCACGAAGTGCCTAATCCTTTGGCAGCTCAATTTCCCGGTCTTCATCAGATCCTCTATCCTTCCCGGAGTCCCCACCACCACGTGCACTCCGTCCTTGAGGGCCTTGGCTTGATCGCGGATCTCCGTCCCTCCCACCGACAGCAGGCAGTGAATCTTGGGGTCGACCATGTACCTTGCCAACAGAGTCACTTTCTGCACAACATGTGAGAGCACGAGCACTTGCTATAGTCCATCATGCAGTTGAAGGTCTGCTCAGCAAGGTCCCGAGCTGGCTCCAGGATGACAGCGAGGGGCGTCGATCCGGAGACATCCGACGACTGTTCCCCTGCCACTTTCACTGTGTCTTCAGCTGGAGCCTGACAGATTCCCTGCAGGCCTCCAACTGGGAAGCGGAAGGCAGCTGATCCGAGGTTGAGGCGGACTTGACAGTCCTTGTTGACAGACGATCAGGCGTAAACAAAATCACAGCAACTTCTGACCTTGAGGCAGACGGTTGGGTAGAGAGCCTTTCCTCTAAGGTGTGGGGGCAGAGAAAAGGCAACTCCAAGATCCTCCCCATTCTTGAAGAAAGCAACGTCTCCTCCGGCCATGTCGATGCAGCACCTTTGAAGGCATGATGTCACTTTGGGATGTTCGAGACGGAAGGGGATGCACTGAATGATGGAGAGGTCAACAGAGGATGCACGAAGGTTATCACCCGACGACATCTCCATCTCCGAACGGAAGTCCAAAGTCTTCAAATTTGTTGTTGTTCACTCGTTTCCCTGTTCCCCCATATCCGAATCCGTTGGCACACTTTCCGAGATCTCGGTTTGCAGCCATTGTTGAGAACCCAACACGAGCCTGAGTGTTCAAGGGAAAAGTTACTTTCCCAGCACGGATTGATATCATCGTCAATGACCAATCCAGGGCTTTGGACTTCAACTTCATACATGTATTTTCCTTTCTTGACCGCAATGTTTGCCTTGCAGAGCACGGCAAAATTCAAAATCATCACACAATCCAACTGTGTGGCTCACCCTTCCTCCACACCAACCAGACTTGCTGCTGCCCACACAGACTAGACCTGACGGAATCACCACAGGATCAATAGAACCATCGGTGTTCAGGACAAGAAAGAGGGGGGACAAGGGGACGTCAAGGGTAGAATGAATTCCATACCATCATCGAAGATCTGCAGCAAAGGATCTTTGTCTACATTGAGCTTTTGTCAATCCACATGGATTTGATTCATGAATGTCACCTTCTGCACTCATCGCTGCCTTGAACTCACTTGCAGCCTTCTGCTGACCTGCATCGCGATTCAAAGCTCTGCAATGGCGGTGCGAGGCATACCTGCACCATGTGTCTTGGTATCGCTTGAGGCTTGATTTTGGAGATTCTCGTGAACAAGCTGTAAGATGGGTATTCCAAAAGCTCCTGTTTTCCCTGCAAGAACCAAAGTTTGTTGTCGAAATCATGGCGATTTTACAGTCAAACCAGTTCCAGTCTCCGCTGCACCTAACACGTCCCCTCCTCCGAGAATCAGGGGGATCTGCATCCAAGAATCACAATCACGTTAATGATCTAGACTTAACAAGAGGAATCATGGCACGTAGCAGGTTCTCACCGCTTCTTGCTGAATTGGTGTTGGCAGTTGCCACCCTGGACAAAATTCTCAAAGATCGCCAAGATGGCTCTCAAACCAGCAGTACAGGTTGATCCCTCAATCATCATAGTAGCATTCCTCCTCCTGACTGATCCTTGCCCGTGCATACCTCCTTTGGTATACTCGGAACCGGTCTCTCTTGCACTGTCCTCTTCCCTATTCCCCCTCTCCTCGTCCTCTCGACCCCCTCCCTCTTGAATTTCCTTTCCGACCTCTTCCCGTCATTCCGCTCTCCATCCTCTCTTCTCCTCTTCATCCCTCTAGCTCCCACCCAGTCTGATCCCGAATGATCCTTGTCCCTCCCTTTTCCGCGCCATCCCCCTCCTCCTACTACTACTACTACTCTTACTCGTACTTCTTCTCTTCTCCTCCTCTCCTTCTCCTCTCCTTCTCCTCTCCTCTTGCCTTCTCCTCTCCTCGTCCTTCCTCACCTTCCTCGTCGATGGATCGGATAATCTCTCCCATGACCCCGAGCTCGGCAAACGCTGCCATGTTACCCTGTTTCCCCGAAAGGAGGCCCACCTCCCCGCTCAGCACTGGTGGTTACGTGTGGGGATGTGGACAAGATAACAAATTGACTAAACGTTTAGTGCGGGGGCTGTTACAAGGCGCCGCATGGGGGGAGCGAAGCGGCTGCGGGGTAGGGGGAGCGGGAGAGAGGCTGCGGATCGGAGAATGGTCATGCTGCTGGCTGGGTTCATCGGGCTAGCTGCTGCCAGAAGCCCAAGCCATGATCCGACTCTGTCTGGAGTTTTCGGGTGAGTGAAGTTTTGATGGCGGCCTGCTGGTGCCAGTATGAAACCAGGCTGTTTTGGTTGTGTTTGCTTGTACATGTGTCTCATCACTCTCATGTTTCATTTCTCTCGTTCCTGCATTATTTGATATAGAGATTTTGTACCTCGTCGTGACTCGAATGCTCGATGAACGCTGCGAACGCTACTATTTGGCATCAAGTTGTGCTACCTCGAACGGCTTGCTTTACGTTCGAACCTCGCTGACTTCAACCGATAGAACGGAGTCTTCTGGTTTCGTTACCTCCCCACTACCTAGACCTTTTGCTGGCCTCGAGCGCATAGGAAAAGGCGCCTCGAACGTCTGTAGGTACGCAGGTTGCTTTTGACATCTTGGCAGGGTCCTTAACCACTCGTGCAGGAAAGGTCATGGTGCTTTGCCGTGCAGAACATCGACAAGGAGCTGGAGCAGCAAGCATGATAGGGGCCGGCAGTTGAGTCCCAGTGCTTTTCTGCACCACGGTACAACTAGTGGTAATCAAAAGCGCCAACAACGCGCGAGGGCTCTTTCCGTTCGCAAGACAGCCAACACAGTAATGAACAGCAAATTAAGCCCAGGAGAAATTGTAGAATCACTTCATTCTCTGTGAATTTGTATGATTCTTGTGCAGGTGCAAGAAGACATTGCATGGGAAAGCCCATACGGAGTGTTGACCGTATACGAACGAAGAATTCGCATGCAAGACGACGATGGGGGAGGAGGGGGCCCGGACGGAAACGGCGGAGGGGGCGGTGGAGGAAACTCTGACGATTATCCCCCACTCGTTGGAGGATTGAAGAAGGTGGGAAGCCTACTTACAACTTTTGCACGGAGCTGACATGTTCGAAACAGGAGGGCAAAGTTGTCAGGTGGCATGTGGTTGGATCTCCCTTGGGGAATTTTAGCAGCGTTGTTGTGTTTCCATTTGATTCACGAACGAAGACTTGCTGGCTCATCAGGGAGGTATGTTCATGAATGTTCTTTCGTGAATCGAAATTCACATTGCTGCCCTGTACGCTTTCTTGGAAACTTCAGTACTGCCCTGGAACGCATTCGGTGACTTTTCACTTGTCCCATGAAGGCTTGTTCACAAAAGCCATTGCAGATACAAAGTGGGGTGCCTGGAGGACTGTTCGAAGAGAAAAAGCATAAGGACCTGCTGCAAGCTGTAACGACATGAAGTTCTTTGCTGTCGAAGTTTGATATTTTCACAGGCTCGAGATGAACTGAATGAGGAAGCCGGCTTGATGGGCGGAACCTGGATTGCTCTTGCTCCGGAAGGTCTGAAAATTTGTATGCTGCACCGTGTTGCTCATCTTAAAATGTGGACACTAGGGATACCACAGGACAAGTACTCGCGTAATCGTTTACACCCTTACCTTGTCATCGACTGCATGCGGGACCCAAATCCAAAACCTAAGGTATCTTTCAAGATTCTAAGAAGGAGAATGATTTGCTTGGACAGGATGATGATGAGATCATCGAAGTGGAGCAAGGAGTAGCCCTGGAAGAAGCCAGGAGGAGAGTGCTTGAAGGCGATATGCCTGCACCTGCAGCTATGGTGACTCTCCTAGCGATCGACAAACTTCGACAGCTAGGACATATTTGAAGTTCCCCTGCTGCATTGCGCTGGAAACTTAGAACTTGTGTGAATATTTCAAACTAAGGATTTGTACGTTGGATGTAAATTGTGAACAGCAGTCAAACTATTCACGCGCTTGAAGGAATTCCATGTTGAGCAGTCTAGTTAGGGATCTTTGGATCTACATGCTTTCAATTGTTCGTTTGCATCTCAAACGGCTACTGGTCACTCGCTCCTTCGTCTATTTCATTCATGCGCTGGCCACTTGCTGATCGTCGGCTGGAGCAGCGACCTCTACGGCGGCATCCAACGGCTTGTTGATAGTACAGAAATCATCGAGCTTGCCCGCTGGAAACCACCATCCGTCAACGTTGACACCGAGGTCCTACATGAGACGAGTCAGCAGGAGGAGGGTGCAATTTTTGACAAGTTGCGTACCTTCAGCTTGCCGTGTGTATCAGCCTGGTCAGCCTGATTGCATGTAGAGAGCACTTGCACGACCTGTCTCACATGCATGTCAGATGACGACGTGATGCCTCCATCGCTCAGAGGATCAGCGGAGGTTTCAGACTCTCACTCACCCTTCTCACGTCCGCGAACATGACAACGTCTCCTGTCTGGCTCGCCGCTTTTGGCAACACGGTTGGCCGTTACAAACAATGACTTCACGACGGTTACAGACCCGGGCCGCCGCCGCCCCTACTGCTCTTGGTGAACTGAGCCTACTAGTGGATTGCGCTGCCTTATCCTTTCTCCGGTTGATTGGCTGAGGCGGATTCGTTTTGGGTATCTCTCTCCTTTTTCGCCAGTCCAATTCTTTTTTATAGTTTGAACTATAAACCTGACAGAAAACAAATGTGTAGTACATTGTGAATCGGGTGAATCCTACCTAGATCCCATAGCTCTAGCTATATAATTCTCAACAAATTATCTTGTTGCTGCTATGGCCAAGAGAGTTCGAGAGCTGGAGGAGGAGACGAGTTCAGCTGTAGAGCAAGAGGCTAGGGGGGTACAAACAAAAGTCATCCAAACAGACCAAGCCATCACTGCTGCAGAGCAAGAGATCAAGGGAGTAGTGGAAAAGATCAAGGGAGTAGAGGAAAAGATCAATGGAGTCGAGGACGAGATCAAGGGAGTAGTGGAAAAGATCAATGGAGTCGAGGACGAGATCAAGGGAGTAGACCAAACCATGGCTGCTGTAGAGCAAGAGATCAGCCAGGCACAAGACCCCAATATGAAGCCTGTCTTGATCATGAAGCAAACGAAGCTTGCAGGTGAAAAGCAACAGCTTGCGGCCAGAGAGAAACGGCTTGGAGTTAGAGAGAGACAGCTTAGAGTTAGAGAGAGGCAGCTTCGAGATGACAAGGCAAAGCTTCAAGATAAAGAGGCAAAGCTTCGAGAGGAAATGAAGGAAAAGAAGCAGGCAGCCTTTACCTGGACAGAGTCAGAAGCTCGGCTTGACGGTATGGGGTTTTGCAAGGAGGAGAAATACTTCCGTCTAGATTGCTCTTACTTATGGGGCACAAATGTAAACAGCGGAGAGCATCTTCTTCTCTACTGCCGAAAAGCATTCCTGGAGCAGTTCCGTTTCCTGCAAGAGCAAGTGCTAGAGCAAGGTGCTCTTGGATGGATACAAGGCTCTCCAGGAACAGGGAAGACAACAACAACGCTTTCGTTTTGTATGAAGCTGGATAGGAATGAGTGGAGCTTCAAATGCATCAGGCTGAAGGCCAGAAGCAACACCTGTGTCGTGGAGGTGACAGGCAACAAGAGAAGAACATGCTCTGTCGCAAAGGAGTCTGAGGGGAAGCAGATGACACTGTTGCTTGAAGGGTTGTCCGACGGCAAAAAGAGCCTCCTGGTGCTCGATGGCTACTTGACACACCAAGAATCTCACACGAGAGCTTTGGTAGCATGTATAGGATGGCGGGATGCTGACAGGCAGAATCGACGTCTTATAGTGGTGACGTCAATGGCTTCTCGAGGAAAGGTCTACGATGAAGAGGATCGAGAGATGGGGCTGAAGGTTCACATAGTGCCATCATGGAGGATCGATGAATATCTAGAGGCAGTGCAGTTTGACGAGTTTTACAACAAGGTGGGAGCCACCTTGGAGATGAATGTGACAGGAGAGGCTTTGGGTTTCAAGATGACTACAGGGCCGAAATCGAAAGAAGAGCGAGTGAGACATAAGCATTACCTCGCAGGTGGGTCATGTCGGTACATGTTCGACATGACTGCGGCGGATGTCCTTCGGTCCTTGGATGTTGCGCTTCAAAGTGCTCCAAACTTACAAGATCTTTTTCGGGGCCATGTAGGCGCTTCCTCGGGGGATATGACGAACAGGCTGATTGCTACTATGGTAACTCAGGAGAAGGTGGTCTGGTTTCCTGTGAGCAAGTACGTAGCCAGCAATCTTGCGGCGTCCGTGGGTGCGGTTGACATACTGAGAAGAATGCTGACGGCCTTTAGGGGCCCGCGAGCCATGCATGGGTATCTTTTGGAGATGCTCTTTTTTGAGGAAGTGAGACGAGACCTGAGCATCACTTACCGTGGATCAAGCGAGCCTGAAGTTTTGAAAGCATGCAATCTCGTTGTAATCTTCGATCCGTCACAAGACACGGACTCTCTTCCCCACACGAGGGTGTGTCTCAAGCCAATCAGTGAATTTCAAGGTGGCTGGGACGCAATCATTGTAGATCAGGATGACAAGGTCGTGCAGTTTTTTCAGCTGACGGTTGCAAAGGATCACTCTCTCAAGCTCTCGTATTTCTTGACTGCTCTTGAGGCTCTGGGGGTTCCTGCAGGTGGGACATGGACGATAAGGATCGTTTTTGTCGTCCCGCCGGAGGATGGAATGTTGTTCCGAATAGCCTCTGTCAAGGATGAAGGAGCGCTAGAGCAGTACATGTGGAAGAAAGGGGAGGAGAGGTCGATGGTCCAGGTGGCGAGTATTGATTTCAATCGAGGGTTCGTTGGTTAGTGAAGGGTGGCGAATGAAGATGCCAGGAACTGCTCAGATGGCTGAAGATGTGAAGGAAGTAGACCACTCATAGCATGCGCTGAGGCTGAGCCGTCATGCTCACGTACAAGGGGGGATGTGGATAATTTTACTCACAAAACTAATATACAATCCATATTCACTCATGATTCATTTGTTTGGGTAGTACAGGTCATCACTGAAAACCATAACTTGACAGTAAAATGCGATCGCATCACCAGCCTCGCCTCTGCTCTTCCTCTGGGTGATGGAGGCAGTGCAGGCGCGGCTGGGGCCTCTGAGTCTTCCGAAGGAGGGGCTGCAGGGGGCTCTGAGTCTTCCGAAGGAGGGGCTGCAGGGGGAACTGACTCCAAGGCTGACTCGCTGACTCGGGTGGGTAGAGATCTACTGCGTAGCTGCAGTGAGCCCGGGAAGAGCTTCCTGAGCCGGGGATAACTGCGCCCTGGTCAAGGGAAACTCTGCATGAACCGCCCTATGACTGAAGGCTTGGGGGGGATACAGGGAGGTCCGCCCGCGAGTTGAAAGAGAGCAGGCGATACGATCTCGCTGCTCAGACGTGCGCTATCAGCTCGCCGAGGTCCATATACTCCACGATCAACCCGGGCCTGATGCACCCGCAGCAAGGAAGCTGGTAGGGGAGGAAGGACCAGATCCGGCTCGTCCGCTTGACGGAGGGTCAGAGGAGGGTCGAGAATGTCCAGGTCTGCACACAGATCTTCAGTGGGGTCGATCGGCTCCTGAGCATGCATCCCGTACTCTCCCGAGGGGTCGAGCGGCTCCGGAGCATGCATCCCGTGCTCTCAGCACGCCTCCGCTCCCTCCAGCAGCACTCTGAAGACAAACTGCACCTGCAACGCCGGGTATACGGGGCCGGACGGAGGGAGCTGTACGGCATGCGCGGCAGGCAAGTACAAGAGCTCGAGCGGGCCAGCAGCCTGCAGCTCGTGCGACGCGATCATTGCTCACATGACTTCTCCCGTGGGGTCGACTAGCTCAGAAAACTGTATCTGCGGTGCTGGGTTTGAATATGTACGCGCACAGAAGGCAGTATGCGACCTCTCCTCCTCGTCGTCCGTGGTCACCTAAAGCCCGATGAGCTTCTGGGTTCACGTCATGCATACCGACTTCTCAAGCTCCTACGCCTACTTCCAAGTCGATGTGGAGCTCAGTGCAATCATGTACGTACCCTGGATGATCTCGATTGTGTGCGAAGGAAGTTTCATGTTGGCCAAACGGTGAAAGATGAACCGGGAAGTGAAATCACTGAATAAATCACCGCTGCTCCTTTTTCAATCACAAATTTTGAAAACTTGACTAAATTGTTCTTCTTCACTCAACGACTGCAATGTCTGCCAGGTCCTGGTCGTAGATATCTACCAATCCCCGGACTTTCGGAACACCGTTCAAGAAATTTGACTCTTCTTTCATCATTTGTCTTATCAAGTTGAAAGGAAGCTGCTTGTCACCTTTGAAATAAAATCACTCAAACAGCAGTCTGTTCATAGCCTTCATCTCGCTCTCTCTGACTCACAGAGCAGACGCTCTTGTTGGCGGCACTGCACCAGCATTTGCGATCAAGCAATGCTCGCTCCTGACAAGGCACTCGTCTCACTGAGAACTCAAAGTTAGGCTGAGCAGCCGGTCTTCTACAGGCCCGGGGTCACGGAGGTTCGGTGGCACCGGGCCGAATTGACTGAGTGAAATCGACAGATGAAGATCTCTTGGGAATGCTTGCAATGTGAGAACAGTGGTGAGGGGATGCGGCAGGGATGCGAGAGATGCGGGAGAGGGAGAGATGGACGAGGGAGGATGGGACCGTGGGAGTGACAGAGGGAGGGAGGCAGACGAGATTCATATGGGGTCATGGTGAAGTATTCAACCATTTCATCTTTGGACCACTATCCAACCATCTATGTCTCACCAGAACTGATGCTGCCTCAATGTCTGACGTCCTGCATAGCTGGCGCTATCCCCTGCTCCTCTCTTTGTTATCAGCCGCAGCTGCATTTGGTAGGATGGGGAGGAATGATAACTTCCACTGAGATGTTACCTAGAAAATTGTTGGAAACTTGCACCATCGCATCGCTTCAGACGTTGCAATGTGCACAAAAGCTTACAAGCCGCCATGAAGAGGAACGATGCTCTTTGATTCCCATCTCAACGTTCAGCTCTGGCTTACATCCTGGACAGGGAAACACTGGGAAATACCGTCACGATGCAGTCTACCATCAGAGAAGTCAGAGCAAGAGAGATCCTAGACTCAAGTAAGGACTCAGAGTCTCTCCATCCCCAGCACAGGGTCACAAGTTCCTGTCGGCAGGAGGAAACCCTACGGTCGAAGTTGATCTGCAAACATCCCTAGGGACTTTCAGGTAAGAAACGTTTGCAGCTGACCAGTGGGATATGGCGGGGGTTGGTAAGGGAACAACCACGGCAGAGCCTCTGTGCCTAGCGGAGCTTCAACGGGGGAGTACGAGGCTGTGGAGTTGAGGGATCAAGATAGAAATCGGTAGAGACGATCATGTGCTGGTCGTGCGAGGGACTGATGTGAGCGGTATGAAGGTTTGGAGGGAAAGGTGTTCTGAAGGCTGTGAAGAATGTCAACGAAATCATTCGACCGGTAAGGAGTTAAAGAGGACGCGTTGTTGTTGTTGATATATGATGAGATGTGTCATGATCATGATCGTGATCAAGGCGCACCTGCGTTCCTCTTGACCATTTTTCATCACAGGCTCTCGTTGGGGAGCAAGGCTCTTGTCAGATTCTCATCGATGACAAACTCATGTGACTCCTCCTCCTCCTCCTCCTCCTCCTCCTCCTCCTCCTCCTCCTCCTCCTGCTGCTGCTGCTGCTGCTGCTCCTCCTCCTCTTGCTCCTCCTGCTCCTCCTGCTCCTCCTCCTCCTCCTCCTCCTCCTCCTCCTCCTCCTCCTCCTCCTCTTGTTCTCGATGCTTCTACCACTGTTCCTTGCCCTCAAGCATTTTCTTCTTTCACTTCCCCTTTGTCCCACTATCTTTGAGAATCTGATTCCATCGGGAAGAGCTTTGGATGGAACGCAACAAAAAGAGACTTTAGGAGCCAATGCAATCTTAGCGGCCTCTCTTGCTGCCTGCAAGGTGTGCACCACCCTCAAACTCACCTATCGGATTCCACAACCACAGCACTGTTCGGAATCTATTTGCTTTGCTATTTACCAGATGAACTGTCCCTGTTTCCAGGCAGATCACAATACAAGCGTTTCATGCAGGTTCTTTCAAAAATAATGATGCCACCGAATCAATCAGCAGCCCCGAGTCCCTCTGACACTGACGAGACCGCGGAAAGGCATGATGATCATAATGGTATGGATGCAGTGCAGACTGCAGTCACTGCCCATCTGCGTTCACTCGGTTTACAACCAGAGGATCTTGGAAGTCACTCTATTAGGAAGGGGGCAGCAACTTATTGTTCATCCGGGAGTACTCACTGTCCATCGAGCAGTGCTGTGTCTGAGCGAGCAGGATGGTCCAATGGAGCAGTTTTCAACACGTATCTACGATATGAAGCAGCAGGTGATGCATTTGTTGGACGCACTATAACAGGGCCTCCCATCGACTCATCAGAGTTTGCGATTCTTCCGCCGCATTTCAAAGAAGCTGACTCGTCAGGGATGGTTACAAGTGCGATTGAGATGCTGTTCCCAACATTACCAATGTGCATGTATGGAGTTGCGGAGTTTGCACTCGCATCCGTGTTATACCATGCAGACTTCCTGAGAACGAATTTGCAGAGGAATCGTCCTCTTTGGAAGTCAACCTTGTTTCAGGACGAAGCTATGCTGAATACTTTGAAATCAAAGGTTGTTTGCTGCATGCCAAAGGAAGCAAGGGGCAGAATGGAAGCGACAGGCATTCCTCCACACGTTCATCAATATGTCCACAATGACAAGGTTATTGCGTCCCTAGAAAAAATACAAAGAGAAGTTCTGGAGTTCAAGCAATCTAGCCGGGGCAACCAGGCATTGGCAGAAGGAGTTTCGGAGAGGCGACAAGTTGGTTTCGTACCAAATGAGTCTGGACAATCAGCAAAGGATTTCTTTCGCCAAGGCTTGCTAGAGAATCGAGATGAGTTCAAAGCTATCATACGGGAGGTGATTATGGAGACGGGAGGGGAAGCAAGTGGATCACAGAGAGATGTTCAGCAAAGGGGCCCCCAGGCTTCGGGTCATAGTGTTGTTGAGTCTGGTCGCAGGAGTGAGGAGCTGGAAACCCCATTGTCGGCATGGAATTTGTGGTTCTGTGGAAACGAGAAAAAACAAATCCCCCCTTTGAGAAATGTTTCTGCGGGGGAGTTGAAGCCTGGACAAAGCAATACAAAGCGACGTTCAGACGTGAAGTTTCTCGTGAAATGTTTTGAGCAGCATATGAACAACGTGCTAGCTGACAAGGATACAGACGAGAGGGATACAGAACTAAGGAGGTTTGAAGAGTTGAAAAGAGCAACCGGAGTCAGGCGCATGCTCAGGGAATCGCAGGAGATTTTTGTCAAGTATGAGTCGTCTTTCTACAGTTGGATCAATGTAGACTCGGGCTACACTTTCCGCAGAGGGCAATTGAAATGGAATACATTCGTGAAGAAGTTAAGGAAAAAATTCAAGAAGAACTCAGGCTCATCTGCATCAAGTCGTTGAGAATAGTCAGGATGATGTTTTCTTTGAACATGGAATAAAAGTACTTGAATACGCTGAACGATTGTCGATATTCAGCCATGATCATGGAAGTCAGTGCATTGTTTCCAGAATAACTTTTTGAATTGCTTCGATCAAACGTCCCATGCCATGATCAGATGACTACAAGGTTCAGAACTAGCCTACGTCGTAGAGGTTTTCTTCCCTCAAGCCAGGTTCAATGCTGTTTGTTACTCTCATATTGCTTAATTAGAGAATACAAGGACAGACAATCGATGAAGGACATGATTTCCCTATGTTATGCATTATTTGGTTAGTCAGGAACAAACAGCATACTGAGAACAAGTGCGATCTATCTTCCTTCCATCGCCACCGGCATGAATTTTCGCTCAGTCCAATTTATAGTTCAAACTATAAACCTGACAGAAAACAAATGTTTAGTACATTGAATCCTACCTAGATCCCATAGCTCGAGCTATATAATTCTCAACAAATTATCTTGTTGCTGCCACTGCCGCTACTATGGCCAAGAGAGTTCGAGAGCTGGAGGAGGAGGAGACGAGTTCAGCTGTAGAGCAAGAGGCTAGGGGGGTACAAACAAAAGTCATCCAAACAGACCAAGCCATCACTGCTGCAGAGCAAGAGATCAAGGGAGTAGAGGAAAAGATCAAGGGAGTAGAGGAAAAGATCAAGGGAGTCGAGGACGAGATCAAGGGAGTAGTGGAAAAGATCAATGGAGTCGAGGACGAGATCAAGGGAGTAGTGGACGAGATCAAGGGAGTAGACCAAACCATGGCTGCTGTAGAGCAAGAGATCAGCCAGGCACAAGACCCCAATATGAAGCCTGTCTTGATCATGAAGCAAACGAAGCTTGAAGGTGAAAAGCAACAGCTTGCGGCCAGAGAGAAACGGCTTCGAGGTGACAAGAGACAGCTTGCGGCCAGAGAGAAACGACTTGGAGTTAGAGAGAGACAGCTTAGAGTTAAAGAGAGACAGCTTCGAGATGAAGAGGCAAGGCTTCAAGATAAAGAGGCAAAGCTTCGAGAGGAAATGAAGGAAAAGAAGCAGGCAGCCTTTACCTGGACAGAGTCAGAAGCTCGGCTTGACGGTATGGGGTTTTGCAAGGAGGAGAAATACTTCCGTCTAGATTGCTCTTACTTATGGGGCACAAATGTAAACAGCGGAGAGCATCTTCTTCTCTACTGCCGAAAAGCATTCCTGGAGCAGTTCCGTTTCCTGCAAGAGCAAGTGCTAGAGCATGGTGCTCTTGGATGGATACAAGGCTCTCCAGGAACAGGGAAGACAACAACAACGCTTTCGTTTTGTATGAAGCTGGATAGGAATGAGTGGAGCTTCAAATGCATCAGGCTGAAGGCCAGAAGCAACACCTGTGTCGTGGAGGTGACAGGCAACAAGAGAAGAACATGCTCTGTCGCAAAGGAGTCTGAGGGGAAGCAGATGACACTGTTGCTTGAAGGGTTGTCAGACGGCAAAAAGAGCCTCCTGGTGCTCGATGGCTACTTGACACACCAAGAATCTCACACGAGAGCTTTGGTAGCATGTATAGGATGGCGGGATGCTGACAGGCAGAATCGACGTCTTGTGGTGGTGACGTCAATGGCTTCTCGAGGAAAGGTCTACGATGAAGAGGATCGAGAGATGAGGCTGAAGGTTCACATAGTGCCATCATGGAGGATCGATGAATATCTAGAGGCAGTGCAGTTTGACGAGTTTTACAACAAGGTGGGAGCCACCTTGGAGATGAATGTGACAGGAGAGGCTTTGGGTTTCAAGATGACTACAGGGCCGAGATCGAAAGAAGAGCGAGTGAGACATAAGCACTACCTCGCAGGTGGGTCATGTCGGTACATGTTCGACATGACTGCGGCGGATGTCCTTCGGTCCTTGGATCTTGCGCTTCAAAGTGCTCCAAACTTACAAGATCTTTTTCGGGGCCATGTAGGCGCTTCCTCGGGGGATATGACGAACAGGCTGATTGCTACTATGGTAACTCAGGAGAAGGTGGTCTGGTTTCCTGTGAGCAAGTACGTAGCCAGCAATCTTGCGGCGTCCGTGGGTGCGGTTGACATACTGAGAAGAATGCTGACGGCCTTTAGGGGCCCGCGAGCCATGCATGGGTATCTTTTGGAGATGCTCTTTTTCGAGGAAGTGAGAAGAGACCTGAGCATCACTTACCGTGGATCAAGCGAGCCTGAAGTTTTGAAAGCATGCAATCTCGTTGTAATCTTCGATCCGTCACAAGACACGGACTCTCTTCCCCACACGAGGGTGTGTCTCAAGCCAATCAGTGAATTTCAAGGTGGCTGGGACGCAATCATTGTAGATCAGGATGACAAGGTCGTGCAGTTTTTTCAGCTGACGGTTGCAAAGGATCACTCTCTCAAGCTCTCGTATTTCTTGACTGCTCTTGAGGCTCTGGGGGTTCCTGCAGGTGGGACATGGACGATAAGGATCGTTTTTGTCGTCCTGCCGGAGGATGGAATGTTGTTCCGAATAGCCTCTGTCAAGGATGAAGGAGCGCTAGAGCAGTACATGTGGAAGAAAGGGGAGGAGAGGTCGATGGTCCAGGTGGCGAGTATTGATTTCAATCGAGGGTTCGTTGGTTAGTGAAGGGTGGCGAATGAAGATGCCAGGAACTGCTCAGATGGCTGAAGATGTGAAGGAAGTAGACCACTCATAGCATGCGCTGAGGCTGAGCCGTCATGCACGTACAAGGGGGGGTGTGGATAATTTTACTCACAAAACTAATATACAATCCATATTCACCCATGAATCATATGTTTGGGTAGTACAGGTCATCACTGAAAACCATAACTTGACAGTAAAATGCGATCGCATCACCAGCCTCGCCTCTGCTCTTCCTCTGGGTGATGGAGGCAGTGCAGGCGCGGCTGGGGCCTCTGAGTCTTCCGAAGGAGGGGCTGCAGGGGGCTCTGAGTCTTCCGAAGGAGGGGCTGCAGGGGGAACTGACTCCAAGGCTGACTCGCTGACTCGGGTGGGTAGAGATCTACTGCGTAGCTGCAGTGAGCCCGGGAAGAGCTTCCTGAGCCGGGGATAACTGCGCCCTGGTCAAGGGAAACTCTGCATGAACCGCCCTATGACTGAAGGCTTGGGGGGGATACAGGGAGGTCCGCCCGCGAGTTGAAAGAGAGCAGGCGATACGATCTCGCTGCTCAGACGTGCGCTATCAGCTCGCCGAGGTCCATATACTCCACGATCAACCCGGGCCTGATGCACCCGCAGCAAGGAAGCTGGTAGGGGAGGAAGGACCAGATCCGGCTCGTCCGCTTGACGGAGGGTCAGAGGAGGGTCGAGAATGTCCAGGTCTGCACACAGATCTTCAGTGGGGTCGATCGGCTCCTGAGCATGCATCCCGTACTCTCCCGAGGGGTCGAGCGGCTCCGGAGCATGCATCCCGTGCTCTCAGCACGCCTCCGCTCCCTCCAGCAGCACTCTGAAGACAAACTGCACCTGCAACGCCGGGTATACGGGGCCGGACGGAGGGAGCTGTACGGCATGCGCGGCAGGCAAGTACAAGAGCTCGAGCGGGCCAGCAGCCTGCAGCTCGTGCGACGCGATCATTGCTCACATGACTTCTCCCGTGGGGTCGACTAGCTCAGAAAACTGTATCTGCGGTGCTGGGTTTGAATATGTACGCGCACAGAAGGCAGTATGCGACCTCTCCTCCTCGTCGTCCGTGGTCACCTAAAGCCCGATGAGCTTCTGGGTTCACGTCATGCATACCGACTTCTCAAGCTCCTACGCCTACTTCCAAGTCGATGTGGAGCTCAGTGCAATCATGTACGTACCCTGGATGATCTCGATTGTGTGCGAAGGAAGTTTCATGTTGGCCAAACGGTGAAAGATGAACCGGGAAGTGAAATCACTGAATAAATCACCGCTGCTCCTTTTTCAATCACAAATTTTGAAAACTTGACTAAATTGTTCTTCTTCACTCAACGACTGCAATGTCTGCCAAGTCCTGGTCGTAGATATCTACCAATCCCCGGACTTTCGGAACACCGTTCAAGAAATTTGACTCTTCTTTCATCATTTGTCTTATCAAGTTGAAAGGAAGCTGCTTGTCACCTTTGAAATAAAATCACTCAAACAGCAGTCTGTTCATAGCCTTCATCTCGCTCTCTCTGACTCACAGAGCAGACGCTCTTGTTGGCGGCACTGCACCAGCATTTGCGATCAAGCAATGCTCGCTCCTGACAAGGCACTCGTCTCACTGAGAACTCAAAGTTAGGCTGAGCAGCCGGTCTTCTACAGGCCCGGGGTCACGGAGGTTCGGTGGCACCGGGCCGAATTGACTGAGTGAAATCGACAGATGAAGATCTCTTGGGAATGCTTGCAATGTGAGAACAGTGGTGAGGGGATGCGGCAGGGATGCGAGAGATGCGGGAGAGGGAGAGATGGACGAGGGAGGATGGGACCGTGGGAGTGACAGAGGGAGGGAGGCAGACGAGATTCATATGGGGTCATGGTGAAGTATTCAACCATTTCATCTTTGGACCACTATCCAACCATCTATGTCTCACCAGAACTGATGCTGCCTCAATGTCTGACGTCCTGCATAGCTGGCGATATCCCCTGCTCCTCTCTTTGTTATCAGCCGCAGCTGCATTTGGTAGGATGGGGAGGAATGATAACTTCCACTGAGATGTTACCTAGAAAATTGTTGGAAACTTGCACCATCGCATCGCTTCAGACGTTGCAATGTGCACAAAAGCTTACAAGCCGCCATGAAGAGGAACGATGCTCTTTGATTCCCATCTCAACGTTCAGCTCTGGCTTACATCCTGGACAGGGAAACACTGGGAAATACCGTCACGATGCAGTCTACCATCAGAGAAGTCAGAGCAAGAGAGATCCTAGACTCAAGTAAGGACTCAGAGTCTCTCCATCCCCAGCACAGGGTCACAAGTTCCTGTCGGCAGGAGGAAACCCTACGGTCGAAGTTGATCTGCAAACATCCCTAGGGACTTTCAGGTAAGAAACGTTTGCAGCTGACCTGTGGGATATGGCGGGGGGTGGTAAGGGAACAACCACGGCAGAGCCTCTGTGCCTAGCGGAGCTTCAACGGGGGAGTACGAGGCTGTGGAGTTGAGGGATCAAGATAGAAATCGGTAGAGACGATCAGGTGCTGGTCGTGCGAGGGACTGATGTGAGCGGTATGAAGGTTTGGAGGGAAAGGTGTTCTGAAGGCTGTGAAGAATGTCAACGAAATCATTCGACCTGTAAGGAGTTAAAGAGGATGCGTTGTTGTTGTTGATATATGATGAGATGTGTCATGATCATGATCGTGATCGAGGCGCAACTGCGTTCCTCTTGACCATTTTTCATCACAGGCTCTCGTTGGGGAACAATGCTCTTGTCAGATTCTCATCGATAACAAACTCATGTGACTCCTCCTCCTCCTCCTCCTCCTCCTCCTCCTCCTCCTCCTCCTCCTCCTCCTGCTCCTCGTCCTCGTCCTCCTCCTCCTCCTCCTCCTCCTCTTGTTCTCGATGCTTCTACCACTGTTCCTTGCCCTCAAGCATTTTCTTCTTTCACTTCCCCTTTCTCCCACTATCTTTGAGAATCTGATTCCATCGGGAAGAGCTTTGGATGGAACGCAACAAAAAGAGACTTTAGGAGCCAATGCAATCTTAGCGGCCTCTCTTGCTGCCTGCAAGGTGTGCACCACCCTCAAACTCACCTATCGGATTCCACAACCACAGCACTGTTCGGAATCTATTTGCTTTGCTATTTACCAGATGAACTGTCCCTGTTTCCAGGCAGATCACAATACAAGCGTTTCATGCAGGTTCTTTCAAAAATAATGATGCCACCGAATCAATCAGCAGCCCCGAGTCCCTCTGACACTGACGAGACCGCGGAAAGGCATGATGATCATAATGGTATGGATGCAGTGCAGACTGCAGTCACTGCCCATCTGCGTTCACTCGGTTTACAACCAGAGGATCTTGGAAGTCACTCTATTAGGAAGGGGGCAGCAACTTATTGTTCATCCGGGAGTACTCACTGTCCATCGAGCAGTGCTGTGTCTGAGCGAGCAGGATGGTCCAATGGAGCAGTTTTCAACACGTATCTACGATATGAAGCAGCAGGTGATGCATTTGTTGGACGCACTATAACAGGGCCTCCCATCGACTCATCAGAGTTTGCGATTCTTCCGCCGCATTTCAAAGAAGCTGACTCGTCAGGGATGGTTACAAGTGCGATTGAGATGCTGTTCCCAACATTACCAATGTGCATGTATGGAGTTGCGGAGTTTGCACTCGCATCCGTGTTATACCATGCAGACTTCCTGAGAACGAATTTGCAGAGGAATCGTCCTCTTTGGAAGTCAACCTTGTTTCAGGACGAAGCTATGCTGAATACTTTGAAATCAAAGGTTGTTTGCTGCATGCCAAAGGAAGCAAGGGGCAGAATGGAAGCGACAGGCATTCCTCCACACGTTCATCAATATGTCCACCATGACAAGGTTATTGCGTCCCTAGAAAAAATACAAAGAGAAGTTCTGGAGTTCAAGCAATCTAGCCGGGGCAACCAGGCATTGGCAGAAGGAGTTTCGGAGAGGCGACAAGTTGGTTTCGTACCAAATGAGTCTGGACAATCAGCAAAGGATTTCTTTCGCCAAGGCTTGCTAGAGAATCGAGATGAGTTCAAAGCTATCATACGGGAGGTGATTATGGAGACGGGAGGGGAAGCAAGTGGATCACAGAGAGATGTTCAGCAAAGGGGCCCCCAGGCTTCAGGTCATAGTGTTGTTGAGACTGGTCGCAGGAGTGAGGAGCGCACCGTAATATCGCAGGAGTGAGGAGCGCACCGTAATAATGCTCCCACCGTCACAAATTGGAAGGAAGCCATGAGAGTTCTTCATTATCTCAATCAGACAAAAACCATGGGAATAACTTTTAAACGGAATGGAAGTCTAAACTCACCATACCCTGGACTAATTGCATATAGCGATAGCGACTTTGGAGGAGACTCCTCAGATCGTCGCTCAACCATTGGCATCCTTCTGCAATACAATGGCGCTCCGGCAGACACTGTTGGAGGAAACGAGAGCAGAGACCCGGGTGGTTCTATTGATGAAGCAGCTGGGGAAAGCGCGTCGGCTCTGGAAGAAGTACTTTTGACAGAAGAGCTGGAAACCCCATTGTCGGCATGGAATTTGTGGTTCTGTGGAAACGAGAAAAAACAAATCCCCCCTTTGAGAAATGTTTCTGCAGGGGAGTTGAAGCCTGGACAAAGCAATACAAAGCGACGTTCAGACGTGAAGTTTCTCGTGAAATGTTTTGAGCAGCATATGAACAACGTGCTAGCTGACAAGGATACAGACGAGAGGGATACAGAACTAAGGAGGTTTGAAGAGTTGAAAAGAGGAACCGGAGTCAGGCGCATGCTCAGGGAATCGCAGGAGATTTTTGTCAAGTATGAGTCGTCTTTCTACAGTTGGATCAATGTAGACTCGGGCTACAGTTTCCGCAGAGGGCAATTGAAATGGAATACATTCGTGAAGAAGTTAAGGAAAAAATTCAAGAAGAACTCAGGCTCATCTGCATCAAGTCGTTGAGAATAGTCAGGATGATGTTTTCTTTGAACATGGAATAAAAGTACTTGAATACGCTGAACGATTGTCGATATTCAGCCATGATCATGGAAGTCAGTGCATTGTTTCCAGAATAACTTTTTGAATTGCTTCGATCAAACGTCCCATGCCATGATCAGATGACTACAAGGTTCAGAACTAGCCTACGTCGTAGAGGTTTTCTTCCCTCAAGCCAGGTTCAATGCTGTTTGTTACTCTCATATTGCTTAATTAGAGAATACAAGGACAGACAATCGATGAAGGACATGATTTCCCTATGTTATGCATTATTTGGTTAGTCAGGAACAAACAGCATACTGAGAACAAGTGCGATCTATCTTCCTTCCATCGCCACCGGCATGAATTTTCGCTCAGTCCAATTTATAGTTCAAACTATAAACCTGACAGAAAACAAATGTTTAGTACATTGAATCCTACCTAGATCCCATAGCTCGAGCTATATAATTCTCAACAAATTATCTTGTTGCTGCCACTGCCGCTACTATGGCCAAGAGAGTTCGAGAGCTGGAGGAGGAGGAGACGAGTTCAGCTGTAGAGCAAGAGGCTAGGGGGGTACAAACAAAAGTCATCCAAACAGACCAAGTCATCACTGCTGCAGAGCAAGAGATCAAGGGAGTAGTGGACGAGATCAAGGGAGTAGTGGACGAGATCAAGGGAGTCGAGGACGAGATCAATGGAGTAGTGGAAAAGATCAATGGAGTCGAGGACGAGATCAAGGGAGTAGTGGACGAGATCAAGGGAGTAGACCAAACCATGGCTGCTGTAGAGCAAGAGATCAGCCAGGCACAAGACCCCAATATGAAGCCTGTCTTGATCATGAAGCAAACGAAGCTTGAAGGTGAAAAGCAACAGCTTGCGGCCAGAGAGAAACGGCTTCGAGGTGACAAGAGACAGCTTGGAGTTAGAGAGAGACAGCTTAGAGTTAAAGAGAGACAGCTTCGAGATGACAAGGCAAAGCTTCGAGATAAAGAGGCAAAGCTTCGAGAGGAAATGAAGGAAAAGAAGCAGGCAGCCTTTACCTGGACAGAGTCAGAAGCTCGGCTTGACGGTATGGGGTTTTGCAAGGAGGAGAAATACTTCCGTCTAGATTGCTCTTACTTATGGGGCACAAATGTAAACAGCGGAGAGCATCTTCTTCTCTACTGCCGAAAAGCATTCCTGGAGCAGTTCCGTTTCCTGCAAGAGCAAGTGCTAGAGCATGGTGCTCTTGGATGGATACAAGGCTCTCCAGGAACAGGGAAGACAACAACAACGCTTTCGTTTTGTATGAAGCTGGATAGGAATGAGTGGAGCTTCAAATGCATCAGGCTGAAGGCCAGAAGCAACACTTGTGTCGTGGAGGTGACAGGCAACAAGAGAAGAACATGCTCATTCGCAAAGGAGTCTGAGGGGAAACAGATGACACTGTTGCTTGAAGGGTTGTCAGACGGCAAAAGGAGCCTCGTGGTACTCGATGGCTACTTGACACACCAAGAATCTCACATGAGAGCTTTGGTAGCTTGTATCAGATGGCGGGATGCTGACAGGCAGAATCGACGTCTTGTGGTGGTGACGTCAATGGCTTCTCGAGGAAAGGTCTACGATGAAGAGGATCGAGAGTTGAGGCTGAAGGAGCACATAGTCCCATCATGGAGGATCGATGAATATCTAGAGGCAGTGCAGTTTGACGAGTTTTACAATAAGGTGGCTCCCACCTTGGAGATGAATGCGACAGGAGAGGCTTTGGGTTTCAAGATGACTACACGGCCGAGATCGAAAGAAGAGCGAGTGAGACATAAGCACTACCTCGCAGGTGGGTCATGTCGGTACATGTTCGACATGACTGCGGCGGAGGTCCTTCGGTCCTTGGATGTTGCGCTTCTATGTGCTCCAAACTTACAAGATCTTTTTCGGGGCCATGTAGGCGCTTCCTCGGGGGATATGACGAACAGGCTGATTGCTACTATGGTCACTCAGGAGAAGGTGGTCAGGTTTCCTGTGAGCAAGTACGTAGCCAGCAATCTTGCGGCGTCCGCGGGTGCGGTTGACATGCTGAGAAGAATGTTGACGGCCTTTAGAGGCCTGCGAGCCATGCATGGGTATCTTTTGGAGATGCTCTTTTTCGAGGAAGTGAGACGAGACCTGAGCATAACTTACCGTGGATCGAGTGAGCCTGAAGTTTTGAAAGCATGCAATCTCGTTGTAATCTTCGATCCGTCACAAGACACGGACTCTCTTCCCCACACGAGGGTGTGTCTCAAGCCTATCAGTGAATTTCAAGGTGGCTGGGACGCAATCATTGTAGATCAGGATGACAAGGTCGTGCAGTTTTTTCAGCTGACGGTTGCGAAGGATCACTCTCTCAAGCTCTCGTATTTCTTGACTGCTCTTAAGGCTCTGGGGATTCCTGCAGGTGAGATATGGACGATAAGGATCGTTTTTGTCGTCCCGCCGGAGGATGGAATGTTGTTCCGAATAGCCTCTGTCAAGGATGAAGGAGCGCTAGAGCAGTACATGTGGAAGAAAGGGGAGGAGCGGTCGATGGTCCAGGTGGCGAGTATTGATTTCAATCGAGGGTTCGTTGGTTAGTGAAGGGTGGCGAATGAAGATGCCAGGAACTGCTCAGATGGCTGAAGATGTGAAGGAAGTAGACCACTCATAGCATGCGCTGAGGCTGAGCCGTCATGCTCACGTACAAGGGGGGATGTGGATAATTTTACTCACAAAACTAGTATACAATCCAAATTCACCTATGATTCATATGTTCTGAGTAGTACAGGCCATCACTGAAAACCATAACTTGATAGTAAAATGCGATCGCATCACCAGCCTCGCCTCTGCTCTTCCTCTGGGTCATGAGGCAGTGCAGGCGCCGCTGGGGGCTCTGAGTCTTCCGAAGCAGGGGCTGCAGGGGGAACTGACTCCAAGGCTGACTCGCTGACTCGGGTGGGTAGAGATCTACTGCGTAGCTGCCGTGAGCCCGGGAAGAGCTTCCTGAGCCGGGGATAAGTGCGCCCTGGTCAAGGGAAACTCTGCATGAACCGCCCTATGACTGAAGGCTTGGGGGGGATACAGGGTGGCCCGCCCGCGAGTTGAAAGAGAGCAGGCGATACGATCTCGCTGCTCGGACGTGCGCTATCAGCTCGCCGAGGTCAATATACTCCACGATCAACCCGGGCCTGATGCACCCGCAGGAAGGAAGCTGGTAGGGGAGGAAGGACCAGATCCGGCTCGTCCGCGTGACGGAGGGTACCATCCAGCCGAGAGAACAGAGGAGGGGGCGAGAATGTCCAGGTCTGCACACAGGTAGATGAAGAAAGCAAACTCCAGTGGGGACAAAACTGAAGGGCTGGCCGAGCTCAGGTTGACGTCCGAGCCTCCGTCAGACAAGGGCAAGGTTTTTCGTCCTGAAGAACACTCTGATCGAAAGCGGCATATGCATCACTCACCATCTCAGGATCGCTGCCCCTTAAGAAGTACTGCAAATTGGGAGGTGAGTAGCACGGATAAGGTGTTTGCGTGCTTGTGGAGGTCATCGTCAAGAGCCGCGAGCTTTTCCTCAAGCCAGTTTCTGATGAAGCCCCTATAGCCCATAAGTATGCCTCCTTCTACGACCCCCTCCAGCTCGACTGAAGCTCCGCAAGTGCGCAAACTCTTTCAATCCACAAAAATGCACTCAGCGACTCCTGCACAGAAGTGCCGCGGGCTGCGCCGTTCAGTCACGGCACTGTGGCAGGTCCATTCATCACTGATCACATGCCGCTGGCCTAATCCTGCGCGTCAGTTCGACCCAGTCGAAGTCGTGAGTTAAGAACAGTACAAGCTGTGAGTTAAGAACAGTACAAGCTGTGAGTTAAGAACAGTACAAGCTGTGAGTTAAGAACAGTACAAGCTGTGAGTTAAGAACAGTACAAGCTGTGAGTTAAGAACAGTACAAGCTGTGAGTTAAGAACAGTACAAGCTGTGAGTTAAGAACAGTACAAGCTGTGAGTTAAGAACAGTACAAGCTGTGAGTCACGGAACCCGCCTGAACTCTATTATGAACTCAAGGCGGGTCTGATATCGATCGTAGATTATGAACTCCCTGTACTTCTTCAGGAAGGCTCCAGGATGGGTCGCCTTGGTGACTCCGATGACCGAGTTATACCCTGACGGCGCCAGTCTCTGTTGATTCATCGCGTTTAGAGCTTCATAAGGCCTCCCCAGCATAGCTCGGATCAGGAACATGTAGCAAAGGCCAGTTGAGTTGGGCGTGCAGTACTCGTCACTCTTGCTAGAGTTCTCCGCCAGATAGATCCCCGCTCCAAACAAGCCATTCATATCGAAGCGTCGCTCGTCAAGTCCCTCAGCACTCACGATAGAGTCTATGTTGTTCTCCTTGGTGTCATGAAACAGCAAGTGGGTTCCCCCTGATAACCCTTGTGTGTCAGGTGCTTGTTGTCTCGCCCTTGCCCCATGTATTTCGGTTTACATGTCGACGACGTGAGCTCTTGCATCCTGTCTCTCTGATACAGGTGTGACATCTCGCTATCTCGCTCTCCTCGCCGTTGTTCTCTCTCCTTGCGTTCCCGTTCCTCCTTCTCCTTGCTTTCCTTCTCACTTTTCCTCTCGCTTTTTCGACCTTTGAAATGACACAGCTCGGGAGTTTCAATCAAAGTCTGAGAGACAAGGTGCCCTTGGGGGGGATGAAAGGAGCTCCGAAAGACGTGGGGCGAAAGCATGCTGCTTGAAGAAAGCCTGAGGCAAATCAGAGCAGACGCTCTTGTTGGCGGCCGTCTGACAAGCTTCTCCTTGTCTTCTATAGGCCCGGGGTCACGGAGGTTTGGTGGCACCGGGCCGGATTCACTGAGTTAAAATGGTTAGCTAATAAAGATTTCACTGGACTGCCCGACAATGCTGGTCATGTGAGAACCGTGGTGAGGGGATGCGGCAAGGATGCGGGAGAGACAGAGAGGGGATCAATGCAGCAAGGGCTAGAGAGGGAGGGACGAGGGAGGATGGGACCGTGGGAGAGACAAAGGGAGGGAGGCAGACGAGATTCATACGGGATCATGGTGAAGTTTTCAACCAGTTCATCTTTGGATCACTATCCAACCATCTATATCTCACCAGAACTTATGTTGCCTCAGTGTCTGACGTCCTGCATAGCTGGCGCTATCCCCTGCTGCTCTCTTTGTTATCAGCCGCAGCTGCATTTGGTAGGATGGGGAGGAATGATAACTTCCACTGAGATGTTACCTAGAAAATTGTTGGAACCTTGCACCATGGCATCGCTTCAGACGTTGCAATGTGCACAAAAGCTTACAAGCCGCCATGAAGAGGAACGATGCTCTTTGATTCCCATCTCAACGTTCAGCTCTGGCTTACAACCTGGACAGGGGAACACTGGGAAACACCGTCACGATGCAGTCTACCATCAGAGAAGTCAGAGCAAGAGAGATCCTAGACTCAAGTAAGGATTCAGAGTCTCTGCATGCCCAGCACGGGTCACAAGTTCCTGTCGGCAGGAGGAAACCCTACGGTCGAAGTTGATCTGCAAACATCCCTAGGGACTTTCAGGTAAGAAAAGTTTGCAGCTGACCTGTGGAATATGGCGGGGGATGGTAAGGGAACACCCACGGCAGAGCCTCAGTGCCCAGCGGAGCTTCAACGGGGGAGTACGAGGCTGTGGAGTTGAGGGATCAAGATAGAAATCGGTAGAGACTATCAGGTGCTGGTCGTGCGAGGGACTGATGTGAGGGGTATGAAGGTTTGGAGGGAAAGGTGTTCTGAAGGCTGTGAAGAATGTCAACGAAATCATTCGGCCGGTAAGGAGTCAAAGAGGATGCGTTGATGTTGTTGATATATGATGAGATGTGTCATGCGTTGATGTTGTTGATATATGATGAGATGTGTCATGCGTTGTTGTTGTTGATATATGATGAGATGTGTCATGATCATGATCGTGATCAAGGCGCACCTGCGTTCCTCTTGACCATTTTTCATCACAGGCTCTCGTTGGGGAACAATGCTCTTGTCAGATTCTCATCGATAACAAACTCATGTGACTCCTCCTCCTCCTCCTCCTTCTCCTCCTCCTTCTCCTCCTCCTCCTCCTCCTCCTCCTCCTCCTCCTCCTCCTCCTCCTCCTCCTCTTTTTCTAGATGCTGCTACCTTGCATTTTCTTCTTTCACTTCCCCTTTCTCCCACTATCTTTGAGAATCTGATTCCATCGGGAAGAGCTTTGGATGGAACGCAACAAAAAGAGACTTTAGGAGCCAATGCAATCTTAGCGGCCTCTCTTGCTGCCTGCAAGGTGTACATGGCCCCCTCCCTCAAACTCACCTATCGGATTCCACAACCACAGCACTGTTCGATGACACTCTCATTCTCTAGATTCTTCACCACTCTACCTCCCTCTCCTCCCTCTCCTCCCTCTCCTCCCTCTCCTCCCTCTCCTTCCTCTCCTCCTTCCTCTCCTCTTCCTTCACCACCACCACATGCCCCCTCTACTTTTCTTCCTCACCCTTTCCCCTTCTCCACTAATTCGTGTTCTTCCTCCCCTTGATCGATCTCTCCCCTGTCGCTCATCACATGGAGAGCAGGCTGGAGCTGCTGCACATCAACTGGAATATTTCGAGTCAGCCCCTCACAATCAGCAGCTCACCCGCTGAAGTGCTGTATCAGGTACATCAGCCAGCTCGCAGGAACGAAGGAAATGGTTGAAAGTGTTCTACTTGCTCCTCCTCTCACTCCCTTTCAGTCTCTCCCCATTCCATGGATGAACGTGATAAATGGCGGGCAGCACGCTGGAAATCGTCTGCAGATGCAGGTGGGACTTGTTTTACCTTGCAGAGTTTGCGCTTCCTCCTCATAGTCAGCTAGGAGTTTATGGTTGCCCCTGTTGGAGCTGAGAATTTCCAAGAGGCGATGAGGTGAATTCTTGCCTTGTCTTCTCCGTCTGTTCGAAAAGTTTCATCACGAAATCTGTCATGCAGGATGGGCTCGGAGGTCTACCACACGCTGAGGAAGATCATCATCGACAAACATGGGCCAGCCGCGGCTTCGATCGGTGAGATCCTGTGAGAGATGGGACAGTAGTTGAAGAAGTTGTTTGTTCACCATTCTTGACTTGATGAGCAGGTGACGAGGGGGGTTTTGCTCCTGATGTCGAGGTGTGCTAGCTCAATCATACACTTATCAACAACAAGAATTGTTGGTCCAACCATGTTTCTTTTGAAGATCTTCTTCAAACTCTTCTTTTCTTCCCTCATTTAATGTTTGTCACGTCTTAGCTATCCTTCTCGCCTTCTCCTCGTCCTCCCCTTCGTCATCGTCTCCTGCTCCCATTCTTTCTTTACCAAAAGAATCATCATCACGATATGCATCATCTGCTTCACATTAATCATCATCATCATCATCATCACCAACAACAAATCATCATCATCATCATCATCATCATCATCATCATCATCATCATCATCATCATCATCATCATCATCATCATCATCATCATCATCATCATCATCATCATCATCCTATCATCATCCACTACCCCGACCACCCCA